TTTAGCATCAAATGTGGTATAACAACTGCCTAAATAGACAAAACACTTCTCGACGTTTCGACCTGAGGGCCTTCGTCATTCTTACTCTCCTGACGAAGGCCCTCAGGTCGAAACGTCGAGAAGGGTTTTGTCTATTTAGGCAGTTGTTATACCACATTTGATGCTAAGTTGTTTGAAGACGCTGCCACGCTGCTCCTTGGTTATATTGGAACTTATCTGGATCAAGGAAAGACTTTTGTCGGAAGATACGAAGTACTTTGACATAAACAGATATTTTTAATGAATTTGATTGGCAAGCCTTTTTACCTTGCACAATGAGTTTGAAAACTTCGTTAAGAGATAATATCAAAGCGGAAAGAAACAATGAAATCTAAAGGCTAAAAGGGGGTCAGCCGCGGTCTATATTTGAACTGATATATTGCTCATTGTGGCTGTATAATTGTTTGTATAACAATCTAAGAGCACTGATTCAGTAAAATTATGATTTATTAAAGAACAACGATTTTATGCTGACAAATCTTCAGTTGATTGGAATGGCGAGAGGTGTTGCAGGTGGTATGAAATATCTTTCCGGGATGAATTTTGTTCACAGGGTAAGACCTGATGTTGTGTATCGTAAACTTCACACATGTTATCCACATGCTTTCCACACCTGTCAGTAGCTGAAAGGAGACTATTTTATTTCCAGGATCTCGCGGCCCGAAATATACTGTTGAATGACGATTTGTTATGCAAAATAGCCGACTTTGGCCTTTCCAGGGAGCTTGAGGCAAACGAGACTTCTTGTAACGAATACTCGACTAAGGTATGAGTCAGTCTTTCATGCAATATTCCTATTTTTTCAGTATTTTGTCAGAAATTTCTAAGACTATTGTCGGCGTTTAGTTTACTTTAAGAGATAGACATAACATGAATAGCCTTGATTTTTAGGGAGGAAGGATTCCAGTGAGATGGACAGCTCCAGAAGCCATAAAATTTCGTAAATTTTCAACAGCCAGTGATGTTTGGAGTTTCGGAATTCTACTTTGGGAGATAATGTCTTATGCTGAAAGACCTTACTGGGAGTGGGATAATTTTAAAGTAAGAATATACCCTTCTCCGTTATGAACAGGGACTTGAGGAAAAAAAGAAAATATAATCATCTTTTAACTAGTGTTATATCAGCTAATGAATTTGAATTCGCGAGTTTAGGGTAACTTGAGGCAAACCATATATAGTTCAAGTCTTACAGTTAAAAATGAATGATTTTTTTTAAATCAAAGGTCATGGAACAAATTGATGAAGGATTTCGTCTTCCGGCTCCGATGGTAATTCGTTCAACCATTTTACCAACTTACGCAATTCTCCCTCTTTTAATGTTGTCACTGTTTGTCACTGTTTGTCACTGTTTGTCACTGTTTGTCACTGTTTGTCACTGTTTGTCACTGTTTGTCACTGTTTGTCACGGTTTGTCACTGTTTGTCACTGTTTGTCACGGTTTGTCACGGTTTGTCACGGTTTGTCACGGTTTGTCACTGTTTGTCACTGTTTGTCACTGTTTGTCACTGTTTGTCACTGTTTGTCACTGTTTGTCACTGTTTGTCACTGTTTGTCACTGTTTGTCACTGTTTGTCACTGTTTGTCACTGTTTGTCACTGTTTGTCACTGTTTGATATTTGGAGCTCGGACAATCATTATTTTCCAGGCTGGCTATTGGAATGTTGTGATAACTTTCAGCCAAGAACTATATTAATAAACATTCATTTCATTTAGAATTGTCCAAAAGGAGTGCACGGCCTCATGCTTCAGTGTTGGGAAGCTGAACGAGGTGATCGACCGAATTTTACTGATATAACAATCGTCATTGATCGGTGGATAAAATCTCCTGAAAAAATGGACGATGATATCAATGACCTAACACCGATAGGTAAGGTTTCGGCCTGTCTAGATATCGAATCCTTCGTATCTCTTGTTTTGAATCAAGCTTAAATATTTTGTTTAATTTTTCTACCAGGTGCTTGGCTAAAGTCAATAAAGATGAGTCGTTATGAAGGAGCCTTTGTTGAAGCTGGTTACAAAAGTGAGGAAGAAATTACACAAATAACAGACGCAGACCTGATTTCAATAGGAATTCATTTGATTGGTCATCGAAATAAAATAATGAAAAGTATAAGGTCGCTTAAGGATGAAGATAAAAGAGAATCACTGTCAGTGTAAGGTAACCTACTTGTAGTCTACAAGAACGTATACATTATTCTAACTTTAAACAATAGGAAACGCTTGATTGGACATCGCAATAAGGTCATGAAAACTATAAACGTTCTTTTCAAGATTAGGTGGAGAAAAATCCTTACCAGCCTAAGGTAACCAACCTTTGGTTCACAAGAACATATACACTATTCTAACCTATAAATACTTCTTACTTCTTTATAAAAGCCTAATTCACGAGTTAACAGTTTTTAGCGAATACAAGTGGTGCGTGATTTAAGGCATGCGCATGCATAAATATTATACATACATTTAGTAGGCAATAACAATGAATAATTTAGTCAATAATCATCATATTTAATATGAACTCTACAGTTTTTAACTTTATAAATATATGTATAGTATTTTAAAATACTGTATTATCAATAACGAGTTATAATATAATGTATCGCAGTTTTAGGTGTAAAATAAAGCATTTTGCTAACTCATGAGGACATTGTTTGGGAGACTTCAGAGAATAGTAATTATGTGACAAGTCTCGGGCAAATCGTGGGTGTATTTGGAGGAGTTTCAAGGACTTTGTGGTTGGTTTATGTCGCAGACTGATTCCCAGTTTCTTTGTCAGTGCATAATGTTCCCACTTGCCTTCAATCCTTATTGATTGTGTTATATATCAATCAATCTTGGGATCCTCGAGATACCGCTGGCCATGGTTTGTGCTGTTGACGCAGGGCGATAACGTAACGTCATCAGCCAAACCGCAGTCCGGAAATTAGCGTTCAAATGAAAGAGATACGCATGCAATAATATAGCTAATCCATATTGAATTCAATACAGGATAGTTTGAATTCTATCATCTTCGCAATTTTGCGGTAAATAAACACTTACATGGCAACTGTGCTAGGGCGTGAACTTTAGACATTCCTCGTTTTGTTTCTTCCAGAAGCAAAGTACTTCCCTCTTGAAAACGAGTAGGTATGTGAAATATATTTGGCATTCGAACAGCACTTTCTTGATATTGCCAATAATTCCTTTTCAAAGCTGGAGTCACGCGCGGGCATATAATGCCCTATCCACATGTATCCGAATATTTTTAAAAACGGAGGTTTTTGGCCTTGCGTCCATTTCGGTCTTGCGTCCACACGTAACCGAGTTTTCGTGTTTACGTGTGGACGGGTGAAAACGGGGCTCGAATTCGATGAACGTTGATAATCGGATCCAGTCTAAAACAGGCAATTAACGGCACGTGTTTTGTATCTCTTCAAGATGGTGAACCAAAATAGCTTGGTTTTTACCTATTTCATATAAACTCAAGTCTAATAGCATGCATTCAGCTTCATGTTTCTATGCTAAGCCTGCACAGAGATTGTTTATTGGCATTAGAGGCCTGCGATCGTTTGGAAGCGCTCATATTATTTGGAAATGCGCTGGCTTGAGCTATGCCTGTCGCCTCAAATTTCCTTCGTTTTAGCGTTTACGTGTGGATGGGCGAAAACGATTCGAATACGCTTCGAGTGGACGCGAATTTTTTTAAAAACGGAGAAAAAAAATCCTCCGTTTTTAAAAATATCCGAATACGTGTGGGTCTAAATATGCTTATTTGTCAGGTATCTCCGTCTAAAAGTCTCGGCATGAACGCTCTCGGAAACTTGCCAGGTATTATTAGGAATATTTGCATATGAAAATAAACTACCTTGTACAATATCAGTATTCTAGACTTTAAATCTCCTTTTACCAGCATGATATACAGTCTATCTGAAATCATGAAGAACAGACAGAGAGAAAAAAATTGAGTAAAAAAGTTTAAAAAATCTCTTTATATAAACGTCATGAAAGATCTCGTGCCAATACATTCCAGGTTGAAGGCTCAGTTACTGTAGTTATGAAAGTCTCCAAAAACATTGCCGGAAGCTAGGGTTCAGTTTCATTCTCTTGATATCAACCAGTAAAATAATTGTTCTGTTGTTAGTATTGTTGTAATCTTTCAAACCTCTGAACATGTAGTTACCAATCATAGACGAAAGCGGTTGATCATCGCGTCAGCCCTTACAAGCTGCCATGGTTAAGTACAAAGTTCCTTCCCTACTTGGTCATCCACTTCAGCAGAGAGTGTAAGTGTCACGAAGTTAACAAGGTTCAACCTTTGTTTGGAGAAATTTTTGTGTATCCGCTCCCACAAAGGTGTCCTAGTTACATACTGAAGGCATTTGTTGACGATGATGTATTTCCTTCAGCATATCATTGTCATCATAATATCATGTTTGATATAAAGTCATCACATGATCCTCAACAAAATTACTGCATGACAACATTAACAACATCTTTGACAGTCGTACTTGCTATAAATATCATGAAAAAAATGTGAGTGTACGAGTTGAACATATACTGATGTCAGTGGTGTGCTTTTTAACACTTAAAGAAATATATCCAAATATACTTTAACTGTTAAACTTGACGGGAATCAGTGTACGTTTTAACGGACGACACCCAGAAATCACAACTTAGTCGATTTATTAATTCGATTAGAAAAAACAAAAACTTATTCTTTCAAATATCCGAATATATGCCTCTTAATTTAAATTCATTAATTCGTATAAAGTATATATAAAATTATTTCCTGCTATTATATATTTTATATACATCACCGGTAGTCTCTGTTTGATACCGAATATCATATCTTTCTTTTCAACATTGTCATTGCTTTTGTTTTTAATTTTCAAAAGAAAGCTAGCCGCTTTTGTTTTATATCTTTGTTTATACCTAGTCATTTATATCAGGCTTACTCAGGATAATGGCATGAAAACGCGTCTTATCTCGGTTCTATTGAACTCTTTATTGTGTTTATCAGTTTCCTGTCGATTGCATACAAGACGCACCTTCGGCAAAGTTTTGCCCACTCTTTCGACGAGTCATTAGACATAACATTAACATATTTTAATATTAAGTACCAAAGCTGTAAACACTGCTAAGTTTAGAGTAAACTTAGCAAGATTCATCTATACACCGACCTTTGTTTGTGACGGAGAGTTTTCATACATCTTATTATCGCGAATAGTGGAGGATCTTTTTTGGATTGCGAAAAGGAAACTTGCTGAAGCGAAGACTACATCTGTGGCATATATATTTATATATATTATATTCATTGTCGATGTTTGTTGGCTTGCGGTTGGAAATTCGTTGTCTTTGAACGCCACAGCTGGTGGAAATTTACTCATTTCTAGCAAAGGTATGTTTGTTTAAGCTATAAATGAGCTAATTACCTCTTCTAACCGATTAAATATATATGAAATGATCATTTAGTTTGCCCGGCTATATAATTCAATATATAGTCAAATAAGGAATATGAACACAATCGATTGTTTCAGTAGTTCTATACGATATTATAGAAGTACGTATGTTAGCGTTATATAAGTGATGATATTCGCTTTTAAGACAAGCCGGAGTATAGTTCAAAATATTACCCAAGACAAAGTATTAGAAAAACATTGGAATACCCCCAAAGCTACTTAAGCTTACTGGCTTTAAAACGGCTAGTAACTAAGTCCTATAATTTATAGAGATATAAGCTATAGCAAAACATGTGTTACAGCTAGATTAGAGGTTTGACATTCCCTCAATAGCTCAATATATATAGTTGTATGCCGGAATTGTTACGCCGGTCCTTCACTTCAGTCAAATCTAGATCTATAAGACATTAGATCCAAGCATATATTTTTTGCTTCAATGAAATGTATATATATTTGCATATGAACTTGTTTTAACATTGTACCGTATCTATAAGACTATATTTAGAGGTGACTACAGAATTTGTAGCATTTTGCAAAATGAAGCCCGTCGGAGAAAACTTGAATATTTTAAATGATAGCACAAACTGCTTGTCACAACAATTCGATTGAAACGATTAGTTAAAAAACCTAAATTTGAAAGTGAATGTTTCCCTGGCTGCAATTGCTTATCTTTCATACCTGAGACACTACTTTTAGATGTGTGTTTTCACTGTTTTGTTATCTTGATAAGATTGCACAGCACTTGAAGACAAACAATATATGTGCTCTCATGAATGGCATTTCATATGCATCAAAAGTGATCGAAATCATTGTATTAGATATTGCTTTGAAATTAGTAAAATAGGCTTTACAATGCCAATGGAAAGAATAAAGAAAATGTACGTGAAAATAATCATACACAAACATACATGGAATCTTTAAAAGAACTTTATATACTAAAGGAACTATAGTCTATAGACAATAATGTTACGATTTTTGTCTTATTTGGTTGAAGTAAAAGCTTGCCACGTTCATGCAGAATCGCCGAAATATCGTTTAGTAAACAAGACTAGGGCAATGACGTGAAGGTCATGCATAAAAGGTTGTCATTCTAATGAAATGTTTTCGAAAGCAATGTTTGTGTTTGCCACAGGATATATTACTTTAAGTTCTGTCGGAACGTTTACTCGGTAAATTGTATACATACAGAAGTCGGAATGCGGTTAGTTTAATTTAAAAAACTACAAACAAAATTGAATTGTAAAGTATTCTTCAGAGAGAGCAACAGGTATTGAACAATGAGGCATATCATCGTCACATTTCCTTTTCATTTTTGTTTCATTGAAACGCGGCATCGCGGCTACGGTTTACCGTGATGCTTTGCGAAACTAAAAAAGTTGCCAAGTGACAATCGAAAATACTTTCATGATAAATGCGTTTGCATTTGCATCTGAGAATACTTCATAGTTAAATAGTGAAAACTATTATAAACGCCATGGTATATATTAGTAAAAAAGGAATTGACATTTATTTTTATATGACATTATTTTCATTATATTTAAATAACATTTAATTATATGCATGAGAAATGTCTTACAAGTTTCAGCTTGTAGGTTGTGTACGTAACAGGTGTCACTTATTACTAACTATTGTTGTTCCCGACTGATAGCATTTTACATTTTCGTTTAATACGTTCTCAACAAAGGTTGCTGGCAGTAAACAATATCAATATATATGGCATCTTATTCTTTAAAAAAAATTTTTGGATGAAATTAATAACATCATCCAGTAATACAAAACGTTTAAATCTATTAGTAGACTCAATTCCGAATTCTCGTATAAAATATTGTATACAATATAGGGGTTGCGTGCAGTTTTTCCTATCATAAAGTATATTTTAAGACCGCTTGATAGATGTTGGCTCATTGAGACCGTCACAAGATCCTTGTCCTCCAGGAAGTTCCCTGTTCTGTGGGAGGTTTGAAAGTGAAATATGAATATCTGAATATTCCAGATTATACTCCGGTCTATAGACTAGACTAGACACTATGTCACAGTAAGGACTCAGTTCGAGTAGATTGTGCCGTAAAAGTACTGTAACTGTAACCCTTGACAGGCCTTTCCCGAGACAAGTGAAAATAATATGTTATGACTCGTGGCATATTGATTAACTCGTTTAATATAAAAAGTTCCTTATTTCGTGAATAATGTTATTATTTCAGGCGAAGTCTTCGTAATAATATACTGTATGCGTGGTGTTTCTCTTTGACTGATAGATACTCTGAAAGAACTATGGTTTTGTCGCTTGTGGCCTCTATTTGTTTCTGCCTTTCTTTATTCCAAGTAACAAGCTCTCAAGAAGGTATATAATCATTGAATTATATATTTATGTATTATTTGAGTTTACCGTTAGGCATGGTGACATGAATTTTTTGCCACGATAACATTGGCTATTGCATTTGAATTGCTTTCGGAAAGGGTCAAATTTTGTAGTTATTGAAAGGCTGTGAAGATTTTTAACATCAGGGAATCAAATATAAATAAACGTACCAAATATGTAAAAACTAATTCTCATTGCTACTGCATGTATGTAAATGTTCTTAAGTGCAAGAGAAGATATCGATCGTGAAGGTTATTTCTGCAGGTGAAAAGTAAATAACCCTTTCATTGGCAATAATAGTTAGAGAGTCGAGAACGAGACTCAGGCCTATATTCCAAACGACCAATTATTTATTCCCTGTCCCTGATAACATTAAAAACGTCTCATGATCGACGATGAAGGATGCGAGTGTGATATATTTGTTCTTGTAATAATGTTTTTGGTTTTTGTTTCTATTAATTTCATGGTTCTTTAACTTCAGTTATCAAAGATGCAACATTGAAGAAATTCTGGTTCAAAAAAGCGTACTTAGTGAATGGAACTGGCCAAGCGGTAAAAAAATAATTCTGAATTGAAAAAATCTTTCTCTGGGTCTCGCTCTTTACATGTTATAACTATCGTAATGAAAGTTTAGCCATATGAGGCCTTAGTACCTCCTACACTAAGGGAATTAAAATTCTTTTATATTTCTTTTGAATTTGAATTTGTTCTGATGTAGTTCCAGTATGAAAAAAAAAAATATGGTTATCATACATGTGCAGGCGGGGAAGAGCTAGAATTATGGCTTCTGACTAAAACCTTAACAAGCAACCAAAGCTTGCCTGATGTGAAACTTTATATCGAAATTGAATCGCAAATGGAGGAATGTGAAGTCCAAAATGGAGTTTGTTTCAAAGATGGATTTGAGCTGTTCAAATACAACGGCACCGGGGAACCCGAAATTCAAGTAGACACGAAAGCAACCGGTGATAAGAAAGAGAAACAAAAAGCTAAAGCATTTTTTGACGAACATTTTACTTTCCTTGGTAACATCACCGGAAACACAACAAGTATGGATCGAGTAAATACGACATTCACTTTAAACTTTAAGGAATTTCGCGACATTACGTTTGGTATCAAATCTAGGGGTGGTTGTGGCAGTGTAATACGGATAAAGGTTTATTACTATATTTGTGAAGAGACATTCATAAAAAGTGTTATGTTTAAGAAAACATTGTCTCCTCAAAACGGAACCAAGGTAGTGTTTGGAAATTGTTCTCTCAATTCGCGTCGGAGTTCGCACATGGGTGATTTGAAAGCATATTGCTACAGCAATGGATCTTGGAGTACTGAAAAGAATATAAGTTGTCTGTGTGATAGAGGATACGAACCAACAGAAGACCATGGTTGTTCTCGTGAGTTTTTATTTATATGTTGCACAGTTGCAATATTATTTGGTATTTCAAATCTTTGTGCTCTAAACTACTCCACATCCATTTACTACTGGTAGATTGTTGTCGGATGACAGTTTGACTGATGTTTAACTTTATTTTATTCAGCTTGTAAATCCGGACGGTACAAGAAGGAGGTCTCAAACGAGAAATGTATGCCTTGTCCTGAAAACACGCTGGATAACCGCACAACATGCATTTGTAAATCTGGATATTACAACCATCCCAAAGATTTTGACTCTAAAATGCCATCAAGATGCTATGGTAAGCTAGTTTATAATATCTGTTGAAGGATTTTTTTAAAAAAATATCACTCGCCATATCCTGCTTTCAGCTCCAATTAAACTCGATGAAGAACCGATTGTTAAAGTAATCAACGATAGGAGTAATCGTGTAAATATAACGTGGGTACCTCCAGTAAACAACAGTGGGGTCATTGAAACAGTTTTTTATGATATATTCTGCTTTGTTTGTAACAAAACCATCTGTAACAAAAGCTGTGCCGAGTTAACGTACACTCCTAAACAATACAACTTGACGGAAACGCATACTGTTGTATCTGGTTTGGTTGAAGGCATGACTTATGAGTTTAGAATTTATCCAAAGAACAGTTTGAACAAAGTTATTCCCAGAGATAAATGGACTTTCGTCGCAAGTAAACCATTTCCTTTTGAATCCACAGGTAAAACTCCTTTTTTGGCCTTGATCCTTAATAGATGAAAATATTTTGGCCAATTCAATGCATGAATAATCATGTAAAATTGTCTTTTTAGTTGAATCGAAAGAGAAAGGAGATAACAACCGTCTCACTTTTGTGGTTATAATCGTATGTGTTGGATGTTTAACACTACTTCTTGTTGCGTTCCTTTTCGCTTTTTGCCTGAGGTAATCATCGAAAGTTTCCTTGTGTTGTAAAAGGATAGCATGTACATATGAAAACTATATAGAAAATTAACTTTGATATTTCAGAAAACGTAAAGAAAAGAGTGGCTTATTCCAGGGACTTTTAGCCGGTGGTGGTAAGTGAACGAAAGAATATAACAATAAATAGCACTGGCTATAATATAAATCCATCACTAGGCTAAAATGAGGGAGGATTTCCAAAGGAATGTTAAACATTTTATAGATTATAATTTGTTGTTTAAATGTCGGCGTTTTTGCCGCAATATTGCGTGAGAAACTGGTTACGTGCAGCCGACTCTTTTTGATTTAGACCTAGCCAGGTTTGTTTATTTTGTTTAAAAGGCTGCTATACTATAAATTCATTTATGTTTCAAGTTGAGTTACCAACAACGGGACGGAAGATGTACGTAGACCCGTCAAATTATGATAAACCAGAAGACGCGATCTGCGAGTTTGCGGAAGAAATTGATGCATCGCTTTTGTACCTGGAGATGTTGATTGGTGGAGGTTAGAATTAAGAAAGCTATTTTTGCCATCGTTTATCATCTTGAATTCTCTTCATTTTACTCCTCAACATGTTTACAGGTGAATTTGGTGACGTTTACAAAGGCTCAATGTCAGTGGAAGACGGGAAAAAGATTCCAGTAGCGGTGAAAACACTGAAGGTATGAAAAGATTCACAATCAACATTCCTCTCAGCCAAAGTAGATTTGGGTTGATTATAGTAAAGTATACTTCACATCAAGTATCTTGACTTACTGTACCTATACTTCACGTGAAACATATTTCACATGCATGTATTTCATGATCAATTTTAGAAAGACGCAACAGCAAAGAGTGAAAAAGATTTTTTACTTGAGGCATCGGTCATGGGTCAATTTGATTGCGCTAATGTTGTCAAACTGGTTGGCGTTGTCACTAAATGTAAGTTTTGTGATGGTCGAACGAAAATTTGTTTCACAATTTCACGACTAATCATATTTTATAACGTTGATAACAGATAGACCGTGGATGATTGTAATTGAATTTATGTCCAATGGATCATTAGATAACTTTCTAAAGGTATACCTTGACTTGGCTTTGATATGATATAGATTTTTTGTCATATTACTCATACATATGCTTAACATTAGCATGCTGCCTTGTAATAAGAAATGATATTCTGATACAACATGTTTTTAGGCCAACGACGGGAGATTGTCGCATATAGAGTTGGTTACGATGGCTAAGGGAGTTGCTGTAGGAATGGAATATCTTGCTGGGATGAATTTTGTTCATAGGGTATGCATCTGCTTCTTTAACTGTCTCGTTTTTGCAAAAAACTGAGGCCTTTTTCTGTTATCGAGTGTTATCAAGTGCCTACTATACTCAACTGCAAAAAAACTCAAACAAATCAAAGCTTATTAACATTATAAGTTCGGCACGCGACATCTCTCAGGGCACGTCAACACATCATAATTCTGAATATTCCATCCTTAACAACACTACTAGGATCTCGCTGCCCGAAATGTTTTGGTTGATGGAAGTTTGATTTGTAAAGTTTCTGATTTTGGTTTGTCACGTGAGCTTGAAGCGACCGACTCTTCACGGGGGGAGTATGCCACCACGGGAGGTAAAATTCCCATACGATGGACGGCCCCGGAGGCAACGAAATATCGGAAATTCTCCTCTGCAAGTGATGTTTGGAGCTTTGGTATTCTACTTTGGGAGATTATGTCGTTTGCTGAAAGACCTTACTGGGAGTGGGACAACTTTAGGGTGAGTTAAAGGATTAAGTAAGTACATCATATCGTCCATAGACCCCAATGGGAATCTTCAAACTTCAACTTCACATTTACAGAAACGAGGACAAGGAATAAGTTCATTTCTTCGCAACTAGAACGTGAAGAACTCTCTTCCGAAATTGCGGCTAAATTTATCTTCCAAATCTTAATTTGTGATCCAAATTTACGATTAGGTTATGGAAGAAGTTGATAATGGATTTAGACTCCCAGCTCCACTTGTAAGTGACAATTTAACTTCATGCTTATTCATGCATGCTTCAATGCAAATCAATTATGATATATAAAGGGGCCTTAATTGCCTGTCATGGTTTTAAAAACTTCATTTACGATTTAGAACTGTCCAAAAGGCATCCATGACCTCATGTTGCAATGCTGGAAAGCCGAACGCATTGAAAGACCAAATTTCACTGAATTAAATGTCGTTCTTGATGGTTGGATCCAGTTGCCCAAAACCATGGAAGGCGAAGTTGACCTGTCAGCGGCTCTGCGTGAGTGGCTGGAGTCAATTAAGATGGGAGAGTATGCAAGTAGCTTCATAAGTGCGGGATATCACAGACCTTGTGAGCTATATGAGATCAAAGAGGATGCTCTGAAGGAAATGGGGATAAGTTTGGTCGGGCATCGGAATAAAATACTGAAAGGAATCAGAAACTTGCAAGGGAAAAAGAAAGGTGGAAAGCAGCCACTAAAGAAAGAAATTTCGTTGGAAGTTTAAGAAAGCGTTTACATATCTTTCGTTACTCGAACGAAGGGTGATGACCCTTTTCCAGCCTCATATACGGTCATTTTTTAGCCAGCACGCATCCGGGCGTTTGACTGCATCCTGAGTAGTTCAGTTTTCATCTCAGGTCAGTTGACTTGATGAAGTACTGGAACGATTTCTCCTCAAACGCTTTCATCGAGTGTACCCATGATGAAGGAAATTCATTAGCGTGCAAACAGTCGTAAACATTTTACCTAATTTATGCTGCGAAAAACTATATAATTATAGTACAATGCAAGTGCGCATATTTGTAGCTAGATTTGTAGAATGTCACTTGCGTTCATTCGTTCAGAACTACAAACACTGTATGATGGTGTGTGGTGAACTATGGTTTTTCCTAGAAGAACATAAGTAGTTTTTAGTCAAAGTATCTTTTCTTTTCGTTGGAATAGACGGCGCGAAAATATCATCAAATATACACCTTTTGAGAGATGAATGATATCTAGGATTGATGCATAAAATGCATCTATAGAATGTTGAAAATAAAAGTATTTATTAAGAAAGTTGAAATTGCAGATAACCTTTACATTGATCACGTTTACAAACTGTTCTTCTATATAATATGATGTTATTATGATTAAATTCTATGCTAAATATATTTCATGACCGTTTTATATTTTGATTCTGGTGCATCCACGGCCGCTGCAGCATTCTAGAAAGAAAAACATATTCAAAAACCAGAAAAGATTTCATACATGTACGAAAGAATGGAAACTGTACTCTGTTTGGTAAAAAAACACGTATAGTTTAATACCAGCTCACAGCTGCGACCTTTCAGTAATAAGGACGATAGGACCTCTGTCTAAATCTGAAAGATGAACGTTGTTGAAGAATAAGTATCGAATGTGTTTGCATGGTCATTTTTTTCTAAGCTTACCGCTCTTATCCTAGGTTTTTAGTATGTATAACGATAAATACAAACTACTGAAGACATTACAGCATTCACAGCTTTAATGGCAGTCAAGATAAGTGATAATAAGTGAAAAGTGAACTCTACGCTATTTTTGTTTTCACGTACGTAGTTTGTTTAATTCCACTGTATCCGGCACCCCATGGCCGTTGTCCGACTCTAACTTGCTTTTGCCCGTAATAATACGATTGCTGAGGCGGCGGCCTGCAATATATGGACGTAATATAAGCTCATTAGTTGTGAAGATCGTCAAGGCGACTCCGTTTTATGTTTTTTTACTGTGTTGAATTTACAATGTGAGAAAGAATTCATCCAACCACTAGATTGTGAAATGGTGGTAATATAATCTATATATGTATATTTGTCCAAATCGGGCATTATCAAGTATGTCATGTATGTTTCTGTTGTCATGTTTCTGTTGTGCATGTATATATAAGTATATAATATTCAAGTATTGTTCGGTTATCGTTACAGTTGTGTTTACGTATGTCATCCAGGGATTTCTCTAGCCTTTCCCGTGCAGAGTAAACGTAAATGGCCTGGCAAAGTAATCCGGGCCCTGTACGATAGTTGATCAAGACTAGGCCTGGCCAGGTCTCGTAAACATTTCAGTCCAGGTCTTCACATAGTCTCGTCAAGCATGTTAATACAGTCATTATGAATCATAGCTAAGAATTGACAGGTTTACATACCTTCGTCTCCCCCCGGTCCACCAAGAGCTGAAATCACAATAAGAAATAAGTTTTAAAGGCTTTTCTTTACAGGGACGAAACAGGCTGTACACATCTTTGGCAAGCTAAATGAACCGGATAAAACAATGCTGCGCAATTGTTTTGGATGGCTTCTGTTAACCGCTTCACTGCATTGTCAGTAACACAAGCATTGTTGTCTATGATACTCGGGGAAAACATAAAGTTGCAGTCAACTATTATTTTAAAAGACTGATTACTGATGTATGTATGTATGATCAGTTTGTAAAGAGGGGAAGCGCCAGTGCTTCTAACAGTGATGTGTATGAGGTCTTATAAAACGAAAATTTCATCAAATGTCTCACAGCTTCTTTAAAAAGAGGTCACGTTTTTAGTGAAACCTTGCGCAGTGGATGTTCTTACTAATTCATTATTACATTTTGTGTACGAAACATAATCAGCAAAACGTTATTATTAAAAAGGTATACTTGACTTGACTCGCACAGATTATCATCAAGATGGAGAAAACCATGGAACATAGAGAAAATATCTTCATTTTCAGGCCTACAAAAGAATGATGTAATGGATTTAATATAAGTCACAAAATAGACTGGTCAGTTTCTAATGAGTCTAAATGCTACCGATAGAGTACTACTTACCAAATTGGCTTTTCTTTTTGATCGCTTTTCTCGGAGTTCTTTACGCAAACGATTTCATAAAATGAATAGTTATGTTCCTTAACACACTGTCGTTTTATATAGATTTTGGTTAACTGTTGAATATCCCCCCTGACAAAGCTCAAATGGAAAGCAAATATACACAAGTTGCAATGCAGGGAAAAGATTTTTAAACGGTGGGGAGAAGGTATAGTTCAAAGTTAAAGGTTTCGCACTCGGAAACACTCCGATATTGACCGTTAAGATAAATATGATCCTTCGTACATGAAGATATTTCGATATTGATCTTGGTAACGATCAGAGATCCGTTTTAGATGGATAACAAATATTCAAACAGGTTGTTTCTAAATTTATTTTAGGGTATTTCCTCCAAAGATCCGAGATAAAACCACCCCCGGGAAACCAACCCAGGTACAAATTTACTTAGGCGTTAATATACCCGGGGTTTTGACCCCAAGCTTTCGGCGCTTAATTCAAGATGGCGGACGAAGGTGATGACGATTCGTGGGAAAATTTCTTTGAAAACAATCGATCTGTGCCCCTACATAAAACCCGAAGAGAAAAAGAAGAAGGGAATAGTATTCCTTATCGTTTAAACTTAAAATCGGTTGAAGGAATACCTATTCCGAGTTTTGTGGTAGGTGAATCAATCATATTTGCAAATGTAAACAAACCGTCATTGTTTATATTTTGTTTATTATTACCGCTGCATTAGGATAGTAAAATGCACAATTAAGCCAACTGATGTCTATTTTTCTGTGTACGAGAATCGTGATTTGCCTTAGATTTTAATATTTCATTGCGATCGGGCGATTACTGTTCTTCATTATCTAGCTTCATGCCCCTGGACTTCAGAATTGAACTGTCGTATTTTGGTGTTTAGTATTATATGAATTATATTTCATTGTAAATACATCATAAAATTTACTAATTTGTATTTCGTTGATTAGAGAACCTATTTTGATTGAGTTATTACCATAGTATATCTTCACATAATAAAGAATCAAGCGTTGACTGTATTGTACGTTGTTTATTGTGTTATAATTTGATGATTGTGATCAAGAAACACAATTTTTGTTCCTATCACTTCTCTGTGCCTTCTTTCCGCTTAAACGGTTTTTGACAAACAATACGATGAATTCCCGACGAAGACAACGATCTCCTGCAGGCATGGTCCAGCAAGACGTGAATTCATCAAAAGAGACGATATTTTCTAAGATGAATTGGCCGTTAGTCAAGTGAAGCTAAACAGAGACTATGATTATAGAGCTGGCGTATTGTTTTTCGTGTCCATACACAAATGATTTGCTCTTTTTGATGGCAAAAGTATGGCAAAACATATGGGGGGATCTATGATGTTCGCAATGACTCACGCTTATTATGGTCAGTGTCATGCTTAAATGGCAGTCGAAAGATGGTTGTTGAGGAGGAGAACTATTCAAGGAGCTTTTGCCACTCAAAATTGAAGAATTTAGTTTACTTTGGTTCCTCCTAATGAGTTTCATCTCATAACCAATAGACCTAGTTTTTCTCCCTCCTGAATATAACTCATAAGAATAGAATCTGAATTTTATATTGTATGAACTGAAGTGATAGATCTTGTATGTGTACTTATGTAAAGTATAAGGAAGTATATGTTTAATTGTTTAATCGACGCTCTGAATTTTTAACGGCGAATTCACGATTACCTTGTGGTGTGGTTATGGGTGATCATTGTATTTAGTCGTAAACTGTAATTGAGAACTAGCAACAACTTCTTCACCGTTAACTTCAAATCGAGATTTAACAATAGTGAGACATTTACAAAAGCTTTCTAGTTTTTACATCGATTTTTAACCAGCGTGGTCACTAATACGTCGTACAATTTTGTACTAAATTCTTATCAGAACCAAAAGGCAGTTGAATTCCAAGTTCGTGTTACACTGTATGATGCAACGAACAAGCACTTTTTTGGCAGTACCTGGCTCGGTGCGTATTTACCTTGGAGAAAAATGGACGAAAATCATGCTAAAATTTCTTGTAATGAGGTATTTTATATTTTTGTTCCGTCAAATTGAACGACTTGGCTTTCAAGGCAGATCAAAAAGTAATTGTCTTTCATATACAGGCGCTGTATTTTCATTCTTCGCTGAACGACGTTACTTGTGTCGGTGCTGTTGAAGTTATAGCATCAGGTTAGTTGGTATTTGTATTTCTGTAAGCAAATTATCTTATTGTAAAGTTTATCTGAAAGTAATTATGTTCTTTTAAAGATGATGTAAATGGTGTAAGTTGTTCGTGCGGTTGGGGGATTCTCAGGATTTTCGACTCGACTATTTCTTTTGAAGACTCGTCACAAACAAGAGATATTGCAGCAAGCAGGTACGAAAGAACATCAGGAAACCTTATCTAATATTACATCTTACTAGCATACTTACGTTCTGTAATATCAAGGAACTATATAGTCGTTGGTATCTTCACAAATGTCGGTTGTGAGATTGTTATTCTGCATTAATTTTTTTGTCCAATTCAGATTGAACTTCATGCGTGGTACGGTTCAAGCGTTGTTGTACATGTCTGAGCCTCTGGAAGGTGCTTACAAATTACTTCATTTATACCAGCCGAATTCATCATAATATGGTTATTTTTATATATCCTTGACCAGTTTTCTTCACGAAACTGAACCATTTCATGAACCTTCCTAGATTTTCCTGGCTTGCAGCCAACCCCTGGATTTCAATTGCTCTATCAGCTCTCAAGACATTCTTCTTTAGAAAAGATCGTTCATTTGTTTCCGGAAAACGCCCTGATTGGAGGAGATGACATTGTACCTGGTGTACGAGAAGGACCCCCTGATGGTAGGTGGGGTTGAATTTAAAAGGGAAGGGAGAGATGAAGAAGGGAAAAGCTAGGAGGCGAGGCATAGACGCATAGGGAGGGGGTGGTTAAAAGGACAAAATATGGGCAAGAAGAAGGCTAGAGAAGAAGTGGAATGAAGAGGAGGAATGGAGTGGAGGAATGGAGTGGAGGAAAAGAATTAAATGAAATTAAGGGTTGGGTAATGAGGTGAAGAGTAGAATGATCGAGAAAAGACATGAAGAGAGAAATAAAAGATGAGTGGGGATGAGAGGGAAACAGGTCAGTTAACTCGCCAGTTCAACTGAAAATAATTTTGAATTTCCAAGTGAATCTTTTTCAGCAAATGGCATTGTCGATATTTTATATAAACCTCGCATTGAGAAAACTTTTATGGCCTTTATTGATAAGGTAAAATAAATGAATTTTTACCAACATCTTATTGCTGATGTTGAGTTTAAATCATCCTCGCACAATTTTGTTTAGCTCCACATAAATTTGTCGCCATGTGTTGAAGATTTTGAAAAGAATTTGATCGATGATCTTAATGCCGACCGCTTGTTAAAGGTAGTCTGAAACTTACCTAAAATTTTACAGTGGCCTTGTTTTGTTTGTCCTTCGCTTTACAATTTATGACATTCTGTTTTAGATCAATGTCCAAGATGGTTGTAACAGTGTTAAGATTGTTGAGAGGAAGCTACAGGTCAATTTTTATCAAGTTATTAGCTTGTCTAGTTTCTTGTCTAGTTCTGTCAACGATTAATTTTTATTGCGGCCTAGAGCATTTTGTACTTTGACAATGAATAATGGGATTACAACGACCGACATGTTTTAGGTTGGGGTCCACAATGGTTGGTCATTCGTCAGTAAGCCACATATTGTGGTTCTGGAACCAGAATACGCTGGACAAGTTAAGATGGGAAGCAGAGCTAATTCCATGTCATCTCTGAAAGGTATAGGACAACAGAAAACCGGAGACAGAATACAAGAAGGCAATTCCCTTCCAAACACAAGCACACGATTGAAATTTCTTGCTTAAATTCACGCACAGGATTCAATTGTTTTCCAGGCAACATCACACGACTCGTTTTGCGAAGTCGTCTTGAACTATCGGAACTTTTCGCCAACAAATTGCTTGCCATCGTCTTTCAACTCAACTATGTCATGTCAGAGGAGTTTGCTAAGCCAGTTGTCGTCGATAATGCTGATGACTCTGGCGTGCGGAGAAAACGGGTATGGTACAGATTGGGATTTCATTTACTTCCAGATTTTACTCTCATTTTGATGTAGTAGTAACAGTTAAAGTAGTAACGGTAACATTTCAGGTGTATTCCATCATTTGCTTCTCTAGACGTCGTGGAGAAACACTGGCAATTCCCCGACAGGAAGTTTGGTTCGCTCAAAGAGTTTCAACGTTTGCGTCCGTCAAGGTGTCTGGGAACCATTTAAAGATGGTCTCATTGATGACAAGATGGTCACCATGACTTTACAATGTGGCGGTCACTATCACCCTGGCAACGTGCTGACGTGGTCTGACGTGAACGGTGGCAAGGAGCCGTCAGAGGATACTATACATTTTCGCTTCGCGTCAAAACGCAAGTCAGAGCAGAAGAGAGCTGGCTCAAAAGCGTCGACCTACCAAAGATTACTCTCAGCCCCGGGATCCGTGGGGACAGCGGAGACATACAGTACATTAGGAACGCAGGATATCCCTGAAGATCATAGGACACTTCAAGCTGCGGAGCCTTGGAACGACAAAAGAATGTCGTTTGGCTCTGATTTCCCGCCTTACCAACCAGCGATGGTACGATGTCGTTATATTTTACTTGAGACTTGTTGAGGTAGACAATGAATCCAAAGGCTCAAATTTTTGCGCCCTGTATTATACAGACTGGCAGCAAAACTCGAGAATCTTCTTATGGCTTATGGAGACAGATTTTCCCAACTCGAGTGAAAAGTTTTTTCATTTATTTCAATATTATTTCTATTAACAGATGCCAGAACGACCTCCATCTCACAGTCCAGTGGTTGGCATGCGAGAGATCAGTACAACGTACAATCATCGTCCGTTGTTACCACCAGGACAGACTGCTACCAGGTACAGTAGCTAGCCTATTTGTTCATTTGGGACGACTATTTCATTTTGGGTGTGGAAATTGCTCTCAGATTTCCACCTTCCATTTCGGCTTCAGAAGTCAATTCAATATTTCATATAGAGATATAATTTTGGTTATTTTCATCTCATCATAACTAGGAGTTCATCAGGTTTGACTCGTGCCGGTCATGCCCGTCTAACTAGTGCCCAATTCCCGACAATTCTCGACCGCCACGGCAATCCGCCGATAGCTGTCGACCCGACGGTGGTTCGTAAATACGATCTACAATACGAGAAGACGGATATCAGGCATTGTAATGAAATTGTGCTGCAGTTCCTCGCTTTGTCAGGGTAAGAGATTATTTTCATCGAGAAATATCGATTTATTTTTCCTGCGATTAACCTCGTTGATAAGAGCTAGCCCCGTGGTTCATGGAGAGTTCTTCAGCATTTCCTGGTGTATTTTCTTCCTCCTCACTTCCTTATTTTCAGCTTATTTTATTTTCTCTCCACAGTTGTTTTCATCGAACTGTGTTTTTCACATATCAGTTTTATCGCCTACCTGAACATACCACTGAGAGGTAGGATTCACTATCGTTATCAGGCAATCAGCCACTGGTCATTTTTCAACTGATATCCAAGAATTATCTGGGATTTATATATACTTCGTAATTTTAGATTAGCTTTGCGTGACGTTGAAAATCAAGCAAAGTCAAACGCTTTTCTTCCATGTTTGCTCCAGAAATTCAATAAAGATGGCTCTCTCGATAATCAGCCTGGTTTGCAGGTAATCTAATTCTTGCTTATTCAAAATATCCTCGGATCTTATCGAGCGAGACAGTGCATTTTATTGGTTTCGTATGACAGTAGTTTTGTTTTGAATGTATTCAAATATTTATACATGAACAAATCAGTTCACTTCGGATTTCTTTCAATAGTTCTTTCACCTTGAATACAAAGCTGTCAAGTATATTTAGTAAATTCGTAAGTCGTGGTGAGCCAAATACTAGGCAGATGTATAATTTTTCATTTAGTTCAAGTATTCGTTTGATCCTTGCGACATGCAGCCGGGAGAAATGCGCCAATTGTGGAAATATCTGAACAACCAGTATCTTCATATTGACGTTTGGGACGGTGATTCATTGCTGCTTGTTGGATCAACGTCTGTTGAGTTGAAGGTGTAGATCTTTCTTAAACGTTATCATTGAATCATTCGCATTTACTGACTAAAGTTCGTTTTTTGCAGCATCTTCTTCGCCAAGGACAAGAAGCTGTACAAGTCGTCCATGAATTAGACATCTTATCGACTGAATATCTCGACGATTCACCCGCGCTTGGCGGAGAACTGGTAAGTAAGTTTTATATGATTTTTGTAATGGTGAAGACATTATTCTTCAATGTTTTCCACGTTCTAGAAAGATGGAAACAACAGCGTAAATGCTGTGACTTATCAATGGTTGTGTCTGTCAGGCTGAAAGCTGGTTTGCATGATAAGCATTTTGAATTGATCGAAGTTATGTTTTTAGGTTCGTAACGTGAGTGTGAAACCCGTTGGAGCGTCGATGAGATTCGAGGGAAAACTACACTTCAGAATGGCAAACATAGGACACCCAAGTGAAAATCCTTCAGGAAAACCATGTTAGCAGATTACATTGTTCGAATGCCCTCCCTGCTTGTACCCACACTGTCATCTTTCCTTGCTTGGGCGGGGTTTGAGGTCTCGTGTTTATATTTTAATTGTACATCTCTAGGTATTGTCCCAAGAAAACAACGTCATGTTGTGACGGCAGAAAGCAATGATAGTCCATATGGTGAGTGTAGTAATCATATGTTTCCATTCCATACAAAGAATGCCTTCATCAACCTCAACAAATATAAGTATTACATTCACACCATTTCGGATATTTGTAGGTGGTGTTCCCAAAAGATCTAAAGCAAAGTTGATGAGCGAATGTGACCAGGAGCTTGCCACTGTGTTGTTTTCCCGCGATAAAGACAAAAACAGAAATAATGATAAAAAACCAACTAAACAAGCTGATGCCATCAGACAAAGGTATTGATGTGTTTCTACTCAATATCTTCATTTCTAATTCTTTCAAATGATTTGGATTGTAATTGTTTTTCGTTGAAACCAATACAGCCTTTAATGTTTTGCCAGTAAGCTGAAGTGTAATCATTTTCTTTTAGAAAACTGGAAAGAATGCAAGCGATAAGAAAGGCACAGAAAGGTCTCGCTGTCACGACTACTCATGTGAGTAATTTTCACACTGGGCATTTGCTTGTATGTACAAAGTCAAATATAATGAAGATTATACCGGCTTGCAGAGCAGACAAACATGGTTTAAATTTTTATCTTTAGTTAATCAAGGAAGAAAAGGTTCAACGTGCTCGTGATCTGAAAACTGTTCAAATGTACAGGTAGACTAGCTTTTAAATAGATCTCTTCACTGAACGATATTAAGATTTTTAATTCGAGATTTCTTTTACTGGCGTAAATTCCACAACAGCGCTGGCCAATTTCTGTGACACCATATTATCTTTTTGAACGTTTGGTTCAGACAACAGTGCAAGAAAGATGGCATCATGGAACTGCTGTCCAGGAGTATCACCACAAATCACACAGTACATCCATGTTTTGGTCACGCGGAATTCTTCGAGTTCGTTCTTAAGAATCCGTACGCTTCTGAGACGAGTGTTATCATACAATGTGATGACAATGAGTTGATGTGAGTCACTATTCAATTATGAATAACAAACGTTCCGAATAGCCATCGTTTGGTATTATTAGTAATAAAGCAATGAAAGACTTTGAAAGAGAATGCTTAAGCCTTCGAAAGGTGATATTTCTATAGAATAGAGTTCAATTTGAGTTTCAATATTCAGGGTCGTATCCGACACAAGAGAATGGAAAAATTTCAAGAAAATCACCCAGACCGTAACAAGTAAGCTTCTAAGTGCATCCTTGAATCTTCAATGAAATGAATTGTTATTTTGACTGGATACAAACTCACAAAGATAGATTCTACACTTTGCAAACATGCATAGTTTAATTTGAATGCTTTGCTAACAGCTTTTTCCATCTAGACATTGAAGAAGACATGTTTAATCTAGCAAGCGACAGCGGGTATCCCGAAGTGTTTATGAGACCGCAAGAGTCATTGAATATACCATTTAAATATCAAAGCTTTAAAACAACACACGAGCAGGACTCTTCAAATCCACTTGGGACAAAGATCAAGGACGTTACTCGTAAAGTGGCCAATAATGGCCATTCACCTCGCAGTATAAAGGTAAATCATTCTCTTCTTTTTATGCAACTCAGCAGATTTGTTCGGGGATAAACAGCATTCGGTATAACCCAGAATCAAGTATAACTGGAAAAAGCGAAAGATCTTTTGTGATGTATGTTTTGAACTCTTCATCAGGTGATATTTGAAACACCTCAACAACAACGTCTCGGAATCCTTTCACTCAACGTCCAGCTGCAACCTGTGGCTGTCGACCAAACATTCAGATTTTACAGTCCCGAGCAAACGTACTTTAAGAAATCGATCAGATTGCCACCATGGCATGCGTTGACAGGTATGTGAACTAACTCAATCCACTCTGCTCTCCGAGATAAATGACATAGACATTGTACATTGACTTATCACATACTTCTGTCAATCCTTCTCTGCATATGTACTATAGCACATGAACGAGTTTAGTCCGTTTAGGCACAAATGTTGTACTCTTTTTAAAGCATCAAATTATTTAGATGAGCCATTACGAGACGGAGAAGGACCATGTGAAATTCTTGTTCGCTGCAGTGACGTGAATGTTATATGCAGCACTACCTCTGCGGTAAGTTCGTTGACCCAAACTAATGAAATGCTTGTCCTCTCTCGTCCTTGCTCAAAACGTTAATTCCTGCTTCAGGGTGTCGATCATCCTCAAGACATCCTCCTGAAAGTTCCTTGCGGAGCTTCGCCTTCCGTCAGAAGATTTTTCTTGTTTATTTTTACGTAAGTTTCCGCAGAGTGTCTTTCAGGTAGTAAACCAATATATTAGTATAGGGCCTGGTAGGGTGGTAGACTTACATCCTGTACGACACTTTTGTAAATCTGCCTTTTACCTAAATCTGCCTAGCACCAGAAGAATTAATTTGCCTGTTAATAAAAAAGTAAAGCTAGTTAATAATGAGTACTAAACATTATATCACATTTTAACTTATTAGAGATCCTTTTCTGACAAGACCTAAACAGACTTGGCAAATTTACGTTCATTCATTACAAAGGTAATTATTCTTTCCATTTGTATAACACTTCATAGTTTTATTTTTCATTCATGTTATTTTTATATCCCTTTTTAGATTGGACATAAGTTCCGTTCAAGGTCAAAGTAGTCGTCTTTTTTGTATCGTTCGTGGTTCTCATAGTTCAAGACTTGTCCAGTGTTATTCCTCAAATCCAACAGAGCTTCAGGTTCGCATATTTTCTTCATGATCTTGTTCTTGTGTAGTTTTCGTTTTCAAACAGTCATCTATAAATGATGTAATAATTTTAACTGTGGTCATTACAATGTGATTATCGTTCCCAGGTTGAGCCCTCAGATCCCTTCATGTTAATGGCAAACTCAGTTCAAGAAGTTAGCTTCGTTTTTAATCCTTCGTCACCAGGCTCCAAGCAGATATTTGTGAATGTTGTTGGTATCCTTTTCGGGAATGTTTTGCGAAAACAAAATTCTTTTTACTTCTCTGCATGTTTCAAAATGGACTTTCTGATGAGTTTTCTGGTTATAGTTTTATTTCAATCACAAGAGAATTACTGATACAGTTTCTTCGTACATTCTTTAGCGAACATCCCTGCTCTTGACATCAGTATCATTATACTGGATGTTTTGAACGTAGACAGTAATAGAATAGTCCAGCACTTGGTGAATATATTTAGTTCATTTTATATCATTCATTATTGTCCTTGAACGGTATGTGCGAAAGACACCGAGTTTCATCAACTTGTTCGTTCTTGGCTGGTATGCGCGACATGCCGTCCTCCTGTCATTTCAAAAACGTTTGACATGAATGTCGAAGTGGGTGGAGGAAAGGGATCGCAAAAGGTAAAGTGGGACATTTCTGGACACACTGGGAACGTGTTTTCGTCAACTGTCTGTTGTTTCTATTTTAGCGAATTGAGTTTGCCAATCCATATCCCGTGGGCAAGATATTTTATCTGAAATGTGACCGTGAGGATGTACTTCATTTTGGAGACACTACTTTAAACGTGAGTCGCATTTTCATGTATAATTTATGCGTGTATCAACATGCATTAATTAAATACACGCATGCAATCTCACAGCCGGTGCGAAGGAAAGTTTTCTCGTTTTTTTGAGCTTTACATATCTGATAAGATTGAATTGATAAACACCAGTCAGGCATATGTGTTGTATGTATTATGCATGTTATACTCAGCTGAATGGCTTTCATTGAATCCCTGCTAGTTATAAGTTTCTTGTTAGAAATATTAGGAAGATTTTCAGGGCATAGCTAGTCCGAAAATTAACATCGAGTTTTCTAGCCTGTAAGACAAACTGAGTCAATTTCACGCAGGTAATCAATACTGTTGACAATTTGTAATGTTTGTGCTTGTAGCTAGGACCAGGTGAATCACAGAATATCAGGCTGCGATTTCAGCCCCAGAACAATCCAATTCAAATCCAGGTTTTAATGTTTGTGTATGATGAGGATGGCAAAAACGAGGAGACGTTTCTACTGAACGTTCTTTATCGTTGACACCTCGTAAGGCTGGCGTGACACCGAAAGAAGAACTACATGTGTTGGGCTGTGTTGTGTAATGTGCAGGAACAGTTAGAGTCGGGCCAGGCTATGCAGTTGTGAAAGGTGGCTGTACTGCGAGCCTGACCTGTGGCTACCATCACATTATCGATGCTTGAAATCCAGGGATTTGTCATGAAACAGTCAAGAATATAAGAGGCTCCGAGAAAGTCGTAGAGATTGATGGAACACAAACTCAAACACGAAAATCATTGACTCGTACCATGCAGTACGTTCCTTTATTTTCTATCTGTTTTAAATCTATTTTAATAGCTATTATTTTACATCTCGTTTCCCAGATGTGCATGAAAATTGAATGCTGAACTACATTTCATTCTATCAGATTCTAGCAACAAGATAAGAATGTTTACTTCTACAAAATCTTTTGCTCGCAAACAAAGCCGATCTAAAGTCAAATACCAATTCTCCGTACCCAATATTTAATCCCTGCTACCGGCGGGCCACTAAAGTCTGTTTGCTGTAAAGGTCCCGTTATCCTAAAGCATTAATGCTGTTCTCGTATTTCATTTAAGTGCTTTCTATGACTATTCGAAAACAGAATTTCTTTCTTAAAACTCTTGTTTTTCTCCTGACGCCTGCCAGAATCATTATACTAGACAACAATAGAGTCAATTCTCGTGCGTTTGTTTTTCTCGTTGCTCTCCTTGCTAGCCTTAGCCTTAGCATTAACAGCTTTGAGAATCTTATTTCGATGACCGATAAGCTTCACTCCAATCTTTAATAAATCGTCGTTCCCAATCCCCGTGAGCTGACACGGGCTCTCGTATCCAGCACCGAGGAAATTCGAAGTATAATCTCCCATTTTAATGGAGTGCAGCCAGTCGCCAATGGTCGAAAGATTGGGAAGATCTTCGTTCATGGTTTCAGGGGATCTTATCCAGCCATTCATTATTTGCGTGATTTTTTCAAACTTTGGTCGCTTATTACGATCAGTCCTCCAACAAGATAACATCAGGCTGTGGACAGCTGTTGGGCAATCCTAAATGTATGCAAAGAAAGGTGGTTAGCTTGGCTACAAATGAATCTACGTTAAAAAACAGAATTTTTATCATGAAAACGATACAAACTTTTGGCGCGGGAAGTCTGAATCCTTCTTCCACTTCATTCATGACCTGAAAAAGGTACAAGCTCAATGTTAACCCTATATTTTCTACTTTGAAATAGTTTTTTCCTCAAAAGTAGAAGATGCATACCTTTATATTGTCCCATTCCCAGTAAGGTCTGTCTCCAAACGACATTATTTCCCAAAGTAAGATCCCAAAACTCCAGATATCACTCGATGTTGAAAATTTACGATACGCAATCGCTTCAGGGGCTGTCCATCTCACGGGAATCTTGCCTCCCTGAAAACCAAACAATCGAGGATAATTTTGACTGCATTGGGCCGTATCATTTTCATTCAATTTTTTCCTAATATATTCATTATTCTTTGTTCGGTGAAAGGCTCAATATCCAATGCTCAATAATCTATTTCCGCAATAAAAAAAACATTCATATTCTCGGCGAGACGAAACTATGAAAGATTTCTTTATAAACCGCTGATAATTCTGTCAACTTTACGAATGACAGCACATTCCTAAAAACTAATCTTACCGAAGTAGCATATTCTCCACCTGAGCCCTCGTTCCCCAAAGAACGCGACAAACCAAAATCTGTGATCTTGCACAATAAATCATCATCGACGAGAATATTTCGCGCCGCCAAATCCTGTAACAGTGAAGGAATTCCGATAATTCGTCTTTTGCTGGATGTTATTGAAGACATTCATATTCAGTATTCATTACCCTGTGTATGAAATTCATTGATGATAAGTAAGCCATTCCTGATGCAACACCTCTGCCCATACCAATCAACTGTAAATCAGTGAGTTGGTCATCGTTCAACTGTGAGAGAAAGAAAACTATGAGTAAGACTAAACTAAAGATAGCTCCAATTCTCAGAACCTTCCTAATGGGGCATGCGTGTGAACCGCACAAGATCAAAGTTCTGCATGCATATCTTGAAGGAGTGAAGGACTGACGGAACAATTGTCAACGTCCGATATCGACTGTGGATACACAAAGTTGTATGGGAAAACAGGAAAGTGCACTCATGGATAACTAATTTTGGGCTCGTGTTATAATGTTATTCTAAAGAGCCAGCATATTCACACCGTTAATGCGACGAGCCACGGTAGTGCAGGACATACGACAGAGAATGAGATCCGACAAATGGTGTGAAAACGTTGGGATGAAAACAAATACAAACCCTTAAAAAACGATCCAACGATCCATTGGACATGTATTCCGTCACAATCATACGAGGAAAAGCTACAATTGCATAGAGCATCTGTTACTTACACGTAATTGCATCATCAATGAAAGTCTAATTTCATAATTTACCGAATTATCAGGATATTTGCCCTTAAATTATCGTCTTTCCATTTGTCAATTTTTCTTACATTTTGTAATCACCCCTTCCAGATGGATGACATTTGGATCGTGAAATTGTCCCATGACCGAAGCTTCTAACATGAAATCCTTTTCGTTCTTCGCCGTGTGATCCGTCTATAAATGGAAAAATTATTAACATTTCTCTCAAATACACAATATATTCAAACAAAATCATTTCATTTCATTCAACATTCCTAAAACAGCTCAAAAAAGCCATCCTCTTTAGAACTAACTGGAATACCTTTAAGATTTTCACTGCTACAATAGTAGCTTTACCCTCGTCGCGTTTCATAATTCCTTTGTAAACGTCCCCAAATTCACCTGAAATTTTCAACCAGCAACCATATTTTATTATGTTAAACTCATCTCAAAACACCCACGAGAAGAATCGTTAAAATTCAGCTGTATGTCTACCTCCTCCAATCAATTTTTCCAGCACCAAAGCAGACGGATCCAGTTCACAGGCAAAATCGTTTAAGGCATCTTCAGGGGAATCATAGTTTGTCGGATCGACGTACAACTTTTGTCCAACATGAGGTAACTCGACTGTTACTGTTGAAAAAAATGAATGGCAAATGTAACTATGCATGGATATCGCTCAATTTAAAAGCGAGACTTATACTATGATTATACTATGAATCGCCAGTGATTATTTTTTATTAAAAGAAATCGATTTTGCACGGTTGAGAATGCCGTAATGAAAATTTTTAAGAGTTGACTACATGTTTTATAATACCTGAGATAACTTGGTGATCGTTTTGTAATAACAAGTGTCGTCTGTATTCGGTTTTCCTAAGAAACGATATGAAATACAAAATTAGTTTTAGTCACCTATATCTATATATAAAGATAAAATTATTGCATGCATGAATTATTGTTACCTTTTTACAACAATAATGAGTAGAACCACCATGATCATGAACAAAACACCGCTTGCAATGCCAGAAACAACAACATAGTCAAAGTAACTTTTCCTGCCGATTGGACGTCTTTTTGACTTTGTAGCTTTCTTTGTAGCTAGAAATTAAAATATAGAGTTCAAAACACAAACAATTAAAAATGATTATAGCACTTACAGTACAACTATAGGCACATTGCTATGGTAGCAAATATTTCGAAGCTATTCGAAGCACGTCTGTTTTACTTACGTGATGCTGGAGAGGAAGGTTTAGGTGGAGAAAACTTAAGCGAAAATTCTTTAGATTCAGAATACGTCCAATTCTGTGGTTCAATAAAGTTATTTATCGCCGTCTTTGGGTAGACTCTCACCACGTATTTCAAATTTGGATGAAGATTTGAAATTTCCACCGATTCTGTGGTCAAATTCTCTTTCCCTGGCTTGTACTTCGCGGCGGCCTCTTTACAAGAATCGTTTTCACACACGAAGCATTGAACATCATAATTCAAAGATTTTCGCATTAGCTCGTTCTCTACTTTTACTCCATTCCAAGTTACTCTCACTGCGGACTTTTTACGCACGTGTTGTATCAACAACTCGATTTTTTCTGTAACAGGACCTGCGTGAGATAGATCAATATTAACACTCTTTATTTGTTCGTCGTTGTGTCATGAAAGTTGTATTAAACCCAAAGGTTTACAACTTTAAACTTACCAAAACAAGGGGCTTTAGTTGGATCCACAGTCTTGTTGAAATGATAGTAACCTTTCATACATTCACAACTTGTTCTGTCTTTGGTGTTTATGCTTTTACTTGGACATTGCTTACATGTGTCATTAGAAGAGGTTGCCTTGAAATGGCGGTCTGGGCAAGCTGGGTTTTAAAAAATAAATCAATTGAATTAATTTATCTCAGTTGAATAAACTTCACTAAAGCGATATTCTTTTCTGTTGACGATATTTCTGTCTTGAAATTTAATATAGCTGCTACTGTTAGTAGCTGTATCTACAGACGGTTCGAATACATTTGTAAAAAAAGTTTTTTGCACAAGCACGTTTGCACAGCTTTGGTCTTAGTTTGGAAAACTAATTGTTAGCATTTTATTAACAACGCGAGATTCGCTTACTGACAATTACTTTTGCAAACTTACGCGAACATTCTTTCAACTTATTCTTTTCCAGTCCTTCCTTGCAAAAGCATCCCAAATTCTTTTCGATATTCCATGTTCCATTATATCCACAATATCCACTCAATGTCCTAACTTGATCTGGCGGCGAAGAATCCGCCGAACAATTCGCTTCCACTCTTTTCCATCCTTCGTAAGGGGACGTGGTATTTGGCAACAAAAAACCATTGAAATCTCGTTCTTCACAATAATAATAGTATACGTTCATGCTATAAACGCGCGCACAAGCCCCGACTCCTCTCACAGCTAGTATGAGGTTGTTTAACCCGTTCTTACGAAATTTAAAAATGTCAGTCCTCGACTGGGCTCCGTTTCTCTCTGCTGCTTTGCTGTTATTCACGGTGTGTATCATAGTAAAATTTTGAAAGAACTATTTCTTTGAATAAATCCTTACGAAAATGTGGTTTTGAGGTTCCATTATAGAGATAAATCTCCAAGAATTGGTTGAGCTTATGAGTTGTCTGGAAAAATGTTTTCATGGAAACGTAAATCACGTCAGCAAATGTATCCTCGATTTCGATATTCTTTGTCACAAATACGAAATCACCATATTTGCTGCAAGTCCTTATGGAACCATCTCCCTCGTTAATATTCCACTATAACCAAAAACAGTTCTGTCAGAATATATTCTGTAAATTTTGCAGTGTGTAGCCACATTTTTTACAAATTGGATTCGTTATAAATGCAACGTGCGGTTTAAAACCTGCATATAGTCAATTTATATTTATATCTAGATATACAGATAATGCATATTCTAATGACGTGCAATGTTTTAAATATAATTTTAAATTTACACATCGGCACAGATATTTTATGATGGCTTACCAAGTCTCCTTCTCCTACTAATTTGAATGATTTCGGGTACAGGTCTTCCATATTCCCAGATTTTATTGTTTCTTGAAAAGTATAATGAAAATTTTATTGTCTACACCAAGAAATATCCAGGCCACAAAACTCAGATCAATTCACTGATACTGGCCCTGCATGTGTGTATGCATGCTGAAGCGGACCAACTGTCTGAACGAACTTTGGCCGACAGGAAAGATGCACGATCTCACAGATGGTCGTCTTGATGATGATAATTCATCGGCTTGTCAGCGTAATTTGTACACGAACAGATCGCCAAACCAACTCTCTTTTCTCTGACAAGTTCGTCCAGAAAGATGATTCATCTCTCGTATAAATCATGCCTCTGAAGAATAAACTAGGAATCTTACCGTTTGCTGCATAAGCAACCCCAACCAAGGTGATTAGAGCCAAAACCGAAATATCCATTCTATTTTCCTTCATATCTTTGTATCAAGTGCCTATAGAAATCATTCAATGGTTTCCTGCATTATTATAAAAATATAGACAATGGAATAAAGGTAATGATTTTGGAAGTCTTTACATGGATGATATGACATAAATACAATTATTACCGCATTATTATTATTATAGCTACATTCGAATACAAATTCGGTACCGTGGAATGCGCATGAGAAAGTTAGGATATGCTTGCTTGAACTGATCGCATATACACTGACGCTAAGTTCCCTCGGTCTAAATGCTGGTTTTCCAGACATCCGGTGTAGCGACCAGAATATTCTTCGTTAGATTTTATGTTGATTGGAACAGGTTATCCTATTCCTGCCAACTCCGTCCTTTTAGCGTACGCATATATACCGAACTTGTTTAAAGATTGTCTGTGGGAGAGAGAAGCGACTTCAAACGAGCATCTCAAGCAGGAAACTGAGCAGTATATAGGAGTGTCACTTGGCGGACAAAGACCGCGAGTGCATCCATATATAATAAACAGGAAACGTGCTCTCCTTGAGTGACTGTAGAATTATCAACCAGAAAACGTGTTTTCGAAAATGAATTGTGTTTTATCCTAAATGTGCAAGTGAATTGCATTCATTTTCATACAAGAACACACGTCGATTCCTTGTTTGCAGGCAGGTCGTTGACTCGTTGTGTACCTACTGGTGCTCAATTCAAGAAATATTCTATTTAGGACTGATGATGTAGTTTTTGAGTTTTCGTTTATAAAATATCCATGCATGGGCCATATTTTATATTCCTCATGAACAATATACTAAACACACTATAGGATATTCTCCAGGATATTTTAAGACATATATGAAACCGGTTAATTGTTCTGTAAGTCCGTTTTGTCTATCCGGTTGAAATTCATCAGAAAACCATTCGAAATATTTTACTTTATATTGCATTCGGTCACCTATATTTGCAATTGGATGCAGTTTAGTGCATTAAAATATACATTATAGTCACGTAGCAAATGTGTAATAAATTATTGTGTTTTTGGTTCTACATTCTGTTAAGTTCCGTTAACCGGGTGTCCACGAGGTTGGAAGACTGAAGAGGTCCTGGTTACTCAGCCTATTGACATGCTTAGAAAGATGGTTTCGTATTTCTCTCTACAATAATATGTATGCTTTACGCGTTTGATCAGTTGGGTGATTTCATCATGATATTTCAGTTCATTCGAGAATATTTCTTAAAATTTATATAATTGAAGGGTTTCACGATGTTTCCAGAACTCTTAAGACCAAGCCTCTAACGCTGGCTGCCTGTTTGTGCATAACAAGTTATATTTCAAATTTTCACGACCTGACAATGTCTGGCTGTTCGTCAAGGACATATTAACATAAAATTATTCTCTTTTCATTAAAGCTGCCAATTAAAACAACCCCCAATACTGAACAAGCGGCATTAGGCCACAAGGACTAAGGAATATTAATAAGTTACGATTTAATAATCGAAACCTGAGCTCTCTGGATTTTTCCCCCCGGGTGACAATGAATTTTCGAGGGACACCTGACTCATACAATGGATATCATGGTAGACTCAAAACAAAGAACTGCGTCTAATTCTGATTTGAAACAGTTGAATAATGTAAGAAAAACAACACATCGCCCCATTCACAGGAAATGTCAAAGTGTTTTTGATCTTTCTCATTTTAAACTCGACTATTCGTGTCTGTTCAGTCTCACAACTCACTAGAGAGACCAACAACTGAAAAATTAACAGTATCTTGACGTGCTTTTGGTGGCCTATGAGCCCGGCAAAGCATGTGTTACTAGACGTGTACATAAAGGCCTGTATTATATTTCAATATATGCTGATTAATTAGACTGTAATCAATTCCTACCGTCCCGTCTTCAGGCGAGAAAGATGCGTACAAGAATTCTTCGTATTTATGTATGTATACGAGATCCAATCTTAGACGTTGCTGATTTCACTGCGGTGATGTTTCTCCGACGGATGTTCAGAGATCAAATTCAAATGTCTACAAGTCACCGAGAGTGTTGATCCAATATCTATCGTCACGAACGGATGTGTCCTATATGCGTGTCAACGTGTTTTGAAACTGCACTTACGACATCTACTGTTGCCATCACTACGCCTTCATATAAGGAATCAGTTGAACCTGTTTCACGGATATTCCGGCATATTCAAAATGAAATAATTTTTTTTCACATCTGAGAACACGAAGATAAATTATGGGCGAGCTGCTAGTCGTCATGATAAACTAAACAAGCCGACTTTAAATGGCTACAACAGCATGTTTGCAAATGCAAATTAAATAAAAACTCTCGTGTTTAGCGATAATTGATTTAACGAAAACTTGTCATTTGCATGTATACATTAATGCAAATATAATGAAATGAAAGTTGGCAACGTCATGCAAACTCACCAAAATAGGAGAATGTTCAGTTCTGTGTTTGGTTTGCAAAATCGAGCCAACACGTGCAAATACTTAGTCTTAAGATAAAGAATTATTTTTGGCTTCTTTGTTCACTTTGTTTTCATCGCTCGGCTTCACTGACGTCAGGTGGATGGCAAAATTTATTTATTTATGTACACTGCAGGATCAAGTTCTAGTTTCATTTTAGTGAACACACTTCAACTTCAACATTCATATTCGGCGGTTTTATTTCGTAAGAGCGGTCAAGGTGACTGCCAAGGTTGAGTGTTGGAAACAAAGAAGAATCACGCGTTCACATTAGACATTCACGGCGTGCCGATAACTCGCACACACACACATGTGTGTGTCATGATAAACGCGAGTGGTCGAATTCAATAAAATAATCCCAGTGCAAAACGCTTTCAACATGTACTTAAGTCAACAAAATTGTTCTTCAATTCTTAAGCAGCTTCCTTTTGTAATTGTTTAGCGAAGGTATTTAAATAGTTTTCAGTTTAATGTTTGACATTTGGAGGTAGCCATAGACAATACTATTTATGATATCATGACAGCTGGTACAATAAGTGCCGCAGAACCTTTGTTTGGCTCTAATTGTTTAGATGAACTAAATCGAAGGCGTCCTCTCATATTCCGCGTCCAGAGTTGGATGCGAAGATGCTTATTTACCAAACAAAATGGCCATGATCATTTCTGAGAATAAATTCCACTCAACCCAAACCACAAATTAGGCCTATACGGGAAGATAGCATACATGGTGGTTGCATGTGTATACACAAATGCCAGTACACCTATAAACTCCATAGGCTATTGTTTCAGTGTTCATGTTTGATTATTTTCCGCGATCCATGCTGTTTCATGCCAAGATTGTTTTTACTAATATCTCTTGTTTTAATAAACCCCTCGTGTAAACATATATATCAGGACTACTGCATAGTTTCGAGCCACAAATATATATCACAGATATAGATGACTTATGTAATGTGATTTATTTACGCATATATAGATATATTGCCAGCCATGAATTTTGCATAACTCTTCCGCAGCTCAGTTTTCTGAGCATCAATAATGACACATTAAATTTTAAATTTCTTATTTTCTTCGCGTAAATATATTTTTCAGCCATATCGTTTATGCACATAGCAATGGACTCGGCCGTTTAGACCGGGTTCAAATGTGTTCCTAATAAGAATCGGCCGGTTGTCTGTGATCATTAATACACATGCATAATCGGCTTTGTCTGTAGGAAAAAAAACAAATACAATACAATAGACGTCCAATTCTTTGGGGCAAACCTCCTGAATCAGACATTAGACTATGTTTACATTCTCCATTTCTTTTCATCCACTATAATGATTTCATCTTATATTTAAATTGTATCGAAAATTTATCTGGTGTCCGGGGTTTTATCATTATACTTATAACAATTGCGTTGCATCCTTACGTTCAAAATACAGCTATATTTTTTTTATGTTTTCATGCAGCACGGCTTCAAACACGCATGCTTGTGTAGCAACATATACAACATGTTATAGCCCCACATTTGGTAACATCATTACGATTTACTTAAAGAGAAAAATGAAAGTACCTAAACTCCTTAAAAACTTGTTATATAATACCTGATGCCAACGTTTATTAATCTAATCCATTTGGGCTTGGTGAAAAACGAAAGGATATCATAAGAATAGACACTTCTACACCCACTTGAGACTGAATATACCGCCAGGGCATAACTTGTACTTGTCAACGAAATGTGATCAATTTGAAAATGAAAATGACTGTCATTATAGCCATTATTACGCGATAAACTAACCTTAAATCTCTAAAAGTTGCATCCTTTATATGTATATAAAGATGTTATCGTTATACAACACACTTTTTTTAAAAAATATTGTGATTCTTGACTGACATGCGGCTATGTATTTCGGGGGATTATTTTTAGTTATAAACAAAGCTCTTAAGATCATATTGACTGAGGATCATGTTTTCAGGATGACGAAGCATTTTAATCGCTAAATCAATACTGAAGAATTAAACCTTGATTAAACTCAGTCTAAATTGTAAACTGTACAAAAAGCTTAAAATGAAGCGTGTATATGCGTACTGTATTTTTGTACTGTGTATAGATATGAAAGGGTCTTTGAAGCGCCAAAAATCATAATTATGTAGATATGACATGTGTGTTACTTGCATGCATGTATATAAAGTAGCTCACAGGCAAACACTCAACTCTCAAGACACATGCATTTGATGTGTTTTCTGACCTGAGACGGATATTTTCCAGGCGTTTAGTACCTGAAAACAACCTGAACTAAACTTAATAACCGAAGATTCGAAGATTTTAGTCGTGTCGGAGATGTCCTAGTATCACACTGTTCAAGTATATTATATAACTGTTGAATTTGTATAATGAACTTTAGTTGAACCCTTCGCGCCAATATTTGCAAGACATTTATATTGCATGGAACAATGCACTCATGTGATATATCATAGCTTTTCCCTCAACACTGGTGTTTATCATTGTTTATTTATTCATTAGTGTCTTTCATAGTAATTATCAATCTGTAACAAAGCAGTTTTGTGTGTTGCACACACTTCCAAAGCTCCTGTTATATGTACATGTTATCCGACTAAATAAATGTAAAGTTGAAAGGTCCATAGACCATAATACACGAAACGATGTATGTTACTGACAAATAAAAACGAATGCAAATACCACTGACACACCCACTGACATATGGCACTTTCTGCTTCAGGCGAAATTTAAAACATGACGTTTGTTTGCATGGCTGTGCTGTTCATTTTCTCACGAACGCTGGGGTAAGAATCGTGTCCGATTAAAGTGTGCAGCCGGTATACCCGTGCCGGCCGTGCGTCTTAAGATATTTTCCTGCGTTTCTTTTTTTAATAGGTCTTATTTGTGTAGTTGGTTATTAAAATTGTCTAATTTGTAAATGACATTTATGACCTAAAGCGGGGAATTGTTTCAAAAGCAAGTTTCTAATGTCTAACCGTATAAAGTGAATGACCCTTCAAGGAAGATCCACTCGGATCATCCGTAAGACTCTCGGGGAACTTATGGCACTGCACGCCCTTGAAAGTATATAAGTGTGAAGAATATTCTAGAGAATCAACAGTATTCTTTCTTAGAACATTACGTTACAAAGTGCGCATGCCCGTTAAATATACCGCAATTAAAGTATACTATCCACGTTCCCATGCAGACATAAGATTGGAATATTCTAATTTTAAAGATTAGACAATGGAAGTTCTAATATGAATTACATAGAAGAATAGATTTTACATAGCTAATAGATCTATGCAGGTTCCATAATGACTTCAAAGGCGGTTTGTTCGGTTTCCACAGCGCAACTGCCGCGACAATTAATTGATTGAGATGTCTTGAGCACACAAAAATTAGTTTACGTCAGTAGGCCTAGCTGCAAGCCTCGCTCTCATGAGTCGTGAGCCAATCGCCACTGATTATCAAAGGATGTATGTAGACTGAAAGGGTGTTTCTTAGATTCGTAGCTTTAAATCCACGGTTTATGCCATAATAATAACATTTTTTACACGATAATTTATTAAGGTCATGCCTTTCACCCTTAGACGCAGCATGTTTTTTCCAAAAAAAAAAAGATCAGTAGGAATATAATGGGGTGATTATTCACTTTTCCCCACGGTTTGGACCTTGGGTTTCTGTCTTGATCAGGCTTAAACAATAATATGTTAGTATAACGTTTTAGTGTTTGTTTTTTTAATAATAACTGAATATGTTTGAAACATGGCAACCAATTAAAAAGATCTCCGCATGATGTCCAGATAATGCAAGGATAAGTCAAAATTAAAATTTAATGACGCTCTATTCGGCATTAAGACCAAACACAAGGTTGGAAGAATGATTTTTCTTAATATTTTTAGTTCAGTATTTTTTTTATTCGTCCATCTTGCAACAATTTTGTACTGTGTTACACAGGCACAATTGTCTCAATTTGATATACAGTCAGTAAATATAAGCCGAAGTGAGGTTGATCTGTTCTACATAAACGTTCGCAACACCGGTTCTTGTGAGAGTTTGCAAAATATTGCAACAGAGGAAATTGGCGCAACTTGCAGAATTTACTCCACTCGTGATGGACTGTGTTCTTTGCAATGCAGCTGCTTGGGGAATACTTCAAATTTCATTGTGAGTAAAAGGAATTGTGTTGATGAACGACGTTTTAGAGAAGGTAGGTCGCCAAATGCCAGCTTTTATTCCATCAGGTATACAGTGCATTGTGGCCCTAGGGATAAAGACCATACGGTGATTAAGAAATGCTGGAAGAGTGCGTTATGTGTGCTTCAACGTATCTCAAACTGTCAATTCATGATCACATGCAGTTTATAGTAGCATTTGCACAATTATTTTCACATATCCTACTGTTTTAACCTCTCCCAGTCTGGTGCATTTTCCTAGCTGCATGCATGGCATGGCATGACGAATTTATTCGTATCGTAGCTGTGGGAGTATAGATATGAAAGCTTTTAGACGCATATTGACTACCTACCTTAAGATGACATAGAAAAGTAGATGAGGCGCGAGATACACGTAATAATATAGGGCAGGCGGCAGAAACTACTGAGGCATAATGTGACCGATATTGGACGCATTCAAATGATTCAATATCTATGCTTTCAAAAGAGATTAAGGCTGTCATTCAACTGAGGAAGGCTGTTCACGATTAATAATAACATTCAGGTAGAGATTGGCATCATTCTTATACCTTTAACTGATAATTATAAAGAGATTTCGTTCATGAAAACCTCAAATATGTGCGAATATTAACTGTTTGAAAGTTATTTTTGTAACGTTCACGATCTCGTTCCTCATTTTTCATAACAAAGCCCCATGCTGTTCTTGCAGGTTGCGATTATGTGTTTGGCTCGTGGACATGGAAAAATGGCTGGAAATGGGACACAAACGAGGACCAACTGCCAATCGTTAATATCGGTTCTCATGGAATAACCACAGCGATAAATGCCTCTGCATGGGTGTCTGACAAGTGCGCGGTATCTTCGATTGACAAGTACAGTGCAAGAGGACTGTGGGAGACGTTAGAGCCAGTTGTTTTTCAAACAAACAATGTCGTGTTTTTCAAGCTACAAGGAATGTGGCACTTCACTTGGGTAGGTTAAAAATAAACTGCACTTGGTGTGGTGAGAATGCATGCATGCTATATCAAATATAACGCTTCATTTCCTTGCCAAAATTTTCAACGACCCATATTTGGATGATGATTGATGCAATATTTTTTACACCGGTTTTTTTCGTTCACACACACGAAGAAAACTTGTTTTCTATCTAAAGAAAGACGTCACGGCATGAGATAAATCTAGCTAACCGGTATAAACTTATCTAGAGATATCAATATATTTAGGCTATATTATATAACTAACGTTCAAAAAATTCATTCTTGAAAATACTTTTAGATTTTTTCCGAACTTAATTCAAGTAGAAAGGAGATTGAAGGCAGATATATTCGCGTGAACATAAGATGTAGCGAGGACAATACGATCGATGGCTTCATTGTTTCAAACGATGTTTCTTCTTGCACGGTTTTAAAGATAACTGGTAATAGAACACGTAAGTTTAGAGATGTTTTGTGGAAAGTATTTCAATTTCTTCGCGTGACAGAAGTAATGGTATCATTCGTATGTAGTGGGTATGTAAAATGAGTAAAAACACATTAACACTTTTCTACTATTCTACAAAATTTAGATCGATATGCATCAAACCAAACGACCGATTTTCCCACATCTGAAACGGATACAAATGGTGAAGACTTATTCTCCAATAAACTGGTTTTAATCGGCTTCATTGCAGGAGGAGTTCTTCTTCTTTTGCTGGTCGTTGTAACAGCAGTGTATTGCATTCATGGTAAAAAGTTTTGTCTAAAATCCAAGACTGCAGTCGCCAGTGAGATTGCTGATAAATACAGCTGCAATGTGAACAACGGTGAGATGGTAGAACATGTGTAGTCCTCTCTCTCTATATATATAGCTCAGTTCTTGAGAGCACGTCACTTCTGGTCGCCTAGACAACGCCTTGGCAATTTTTTCATGCGTCGTTTCCAGGCCTTTATAGTAGACGCACCTACAGCACTATTTGACAAAAACAAATAGCGGGTGACACCTCTTATGGTAATGAATAAGTACAACGTAAGGTTGTCACTGAGACAAGGAAGTTGAAACACAATATTGGCAGTGTTTGCTTTTCATAAGGATACTGTATACAATAGATCTTATTCAACTTGAATAATCACGGAAAATACGCATTGTAACATAAAGTTCATAACGTAGGGAAAAGCAGATTTTAATACATCGCCGAGGTTCACTTGGATGATGTGCGAAAACGGTCTAACTAGCACTGAAGTAAATTTTTAGCTCAATATAGACATGCAGTAATCTTGAAATAAATTTATAATGTGTGAATATATAATGTTGGTGATTTGTAATGTATTTATATTTCAAATATACATTAGTCAGCAATACTAGCAACAGAACAATTTCACTGGTTGATATCAAGTCCAAACCCTTCGGGCAATGTTTTTGGAGACTTTCATAACTACAGTAACTGAACCTTCAACCTGGAATGTCTTGCTACGAGATCTTTCAGGATGTTTATACAAAGAGATTTTTTAAACTTTTTTTACTCCATTTTTTCTCTCTGTTCTTGTTGATTTCAGTTAGACTATATATCATGCAGGTAAAAGGGGATTTAAAGTCTAGAATACTGATATTGTACGAGTTAGCTTATTTTCATATGCATGCAAATATTCCGCCTAATATATCTGGCAAGTTTCCGAGAGCGTGCATTCCGCCAGACGAAGATAGTGACAAATAAGCATATTTTACTGAACGTCCCGCTACTGAACGAAATCTGATACATGACTTGGCGCTTGGTGGCACAGAGTTCACGAAACAAATTAACAGATGTAAAAATAATAGCTTATTTGGCACAATTATAGCTGGGAAGTCATGTTTTACGCGTTGAAAACAAAAATGGCGTCAGCGTAGGATGAAAAGCATTGCATTGTCATTGTCGGTGTATATGGCCAACATGACTGACAGCTTGTCTAGCTTATAGCTTTTAGGATAACCAAATACCGAAACTAGTTCAGAAAATCTATCAAACTAAATTACCGCCGTTCGTATTTGGTTCACCGGACTCTGTGGTCAGCCGTTGTTGAAATGCATGATATTTAAAACACGAAACTAAAATGGGAAAATTTTCCATAAATAAGTAATAAAGCAGTCTCATTTTTCCGCTCAATAAATGCTCCTTTGTTATGTTGCCGGGTTTACTCTATGACATGCGATATTAACACAAAAATATGAGATGATTAAGCCACCATGAAAGACCATCTTTTTTTCTCAATGTTCTCATCATTTATCCGCGTGGGCAAAGCGAGCAACGGTTACCATCAAGGTTGAAAGCGATATAAAAAGATCGTGACTTAATTGATATGGAGACTTATAAACTTTAAAAACCATGGAAATAAGTTGTTTCAAAGAATTTTTGGCAACAGATACTAAAATACTACCAACTGACAGGAGTTAAAGTCTTAAAGATGGTAATCGCTGTCGCAAGTCTTTGACGATCTAAAACGGTCAACAGCGATGCCGATGACTGTTGTTGGAAAGCATTTGTAGAGAAAGCTGGAATGGCCCGATTTTCTGCGAGTAACGAACGATACTTCTGACAAAGAAAAGAAAAAAGTAAAAAAATCTGGCCATGTGGTATGTGATACAGTATATTTCGTTTTGTATCACCGCTGACCTTCGCTCTAATCCTCACAAATTAAATATCGGTCAGAGCCGTCAAACCTAAAAATCGTAGGCAAAGTATCGCCCATTTCCACTCGTTGTGTCAACATTAAAGTTGAGGAAAATTTCCCGCCACATTTTTTCCGTCCGCGTGGTGTGATAAGAGGGCCAGAGAACCAAATCACCCACGGCAAGTGACGTACGTGAGCGAGCAAGTTCCGTTTTAGGCCCGAGCCCGTGACGAGAACAGGAAAACGATATAATAGACTGGCGGAGACGAATGCTCTCAGTCTAAACTTATCAGATTATCGTGGTTTAGAATTAAATTATTGCATACCCAATTCATGAGGAATGTTTGAACAGTACCCGAGCGATTAAGGTACGTATTATCACAGTCTACAGCGGAACAGTATTGAGTATATTGGGCCGTTTTGTCAGCGTATATTTTACTGCCATGCTTGTTGTTCTCGTATCGACTCACCGTCAATATTTGCTCATGACTTCAACGCGTTGAATGCTGCTGATGTTATAAATATGTAAAGTACCTTACATTGCTACATCGATTGGGCATTAGATACATTAAGATATGTTCTAGAATCAATGAGATGTAACAAATTATTGAAGGTATTCGATTCTGTTGACGAAAACTGCGATGATAACGGTGTTGAAGTAGGAGAGCATGGAAGTTGATCTTAACAGGCATTGTTTTGCATTGCGGCAAACATTGTTTGCTTGTACAACGTTAGTTTGGCACCCGTAAGTTAAAAATAAATAAAGACTTTTCTGGACTTTACACCGAACGAGGTCATTCCTTCACATCAACTTTACGCGTAAACATTTCGATTTTCGTTTCCGTGTAATTGGTGTCATATTTTGATTCGAAATTATTTATGCAAGAATTCGCCAAAAAATTTATCCTCGCCACAACCCTTTTGGTTTTCGACAAAGATGTGTCTTTCTCTTTCAGTCCGTTGCATGTTTCTAGCGGTGAACTTTTAATATTTATGTCTTAAGTGTCGTGTAATATTTTTTAAATGCAAGGTGTCAATTCTAAAACATTCGTTCAGACATTAAATATAGACAAAAAGAGTGGGCTTTCTAATTTGAATTTGTAGTAGCTAACGATCAAAATTCAAAAGGTGCAGATGTTTCGGTTTTAGTTAATACAATCATCCGTTCTTCACAGCAGCATTAGGTGAGGCCAAATATTTGTGTTGTTTTTTCAGCCTATCTATTTCAGACTCTCAGCAATCATTACTTGTAGTTTAATTTGTTCCACTCGAGTTATTTATGAAGTTTTAATATTCATTGTGCACGCTTTCATATCCATGTCAAATGTGGCTATCATATAATAAATGTATGCTATGAGGCACATATAGATGTCATGCATCCTTATGAATTTGTGGCGTTATTAAATTTTAATTCCATTTGCCTGCTTTAGTCTGATTAATTTTATATGCTTATAAACTAGAACATTTTCAAGGCCTTTTGCATAAATTGTCTAAAGCAAGCATTTTCGTAGGGGTCTTAATTGTTGTATTTTCAGTTAAACCAACTTTTTTCTGTTTAAATGACAATTAAGTTTGTACACTTAAAATAATGATTTAATGCAAGCTACAATATGTAATTATTCCTTGTGGTGTGGTCACAATATCCTACGGCATTGCATTTGGGGTATAAAGTACACTTTCCCAAGCCTAGCCCAGCAAACCCCTATCTATTTGCTTATATATTGGTAGAAACCATGCAGTACTGGTATACATGTGGTAGTGTATTCACAATATACCATTTTGATGTTTGTATAATTTTATTGGTTGCTTGCTCATCAGTTAGTTATTGAGGCAGTGACAGAGTCACCAAGTACCAGTTGTACAAAGGCAAGAGGATGCAGTCTGATTTTTTCAATTGTTTTTCTTTTTAGAGTAATATTGCCACCGTTTAGCTACACATTATAGTGCTGGGGTTTCTTAGCTCAGAAATGAATTGTATTAAAGAAACTTTATTCATATTTTCACTCTTCAATATCTTTTATATTCAACATGTATTTGGGGGAAAAGGTATGTCTAATTCAAGCTTATTAATGGTTAAAAGAATCTAATTGAGGAAAGTAGGATTTCCATTGCCTTAAGTATCAATAAAAAGTTAAAATGTCCATATTACAACACAGAATGACAGAATTTTCATTGCCAAATTTGTTTAACATGTATACAATTTCCGGTGATTTTAATTTAAAAGCTAAGATTAAAACAATTTTTTTATTTATTTTTGTAAATAAGGTAGTGCACTCCTTTTTTTTTAAGTTTTCTTTTATGGAAATAGAAATTTTACATAAACAACCTCATGCTGTCATTATACACTAGTTTTTTTTCATTGTAGAAATTGTGGACAAAGGAACATGTGCAGATCTTTTTGAACGTTCTGTTGTGGAAAGTATTGGAAACACCCCACATGTAAGTTACGTAGCTGCAGTGTTTTTGTGCTTTGCATGCAGCAACAATCTTTTGAGTTTTGTATTGTCTTCATTTGCATTGCAAACTGTCTCTAGTCAAGCAGAAGTGCAGACTGACTGAGGATTCTTCTATGTTAGTATTTTGGTGTTCCGAATGACTAAAAATAACTTAAGCTACAAGTCTGGTTATGCCACTGTTGAACTTATGAAAGTTTGAAAAGATCAATACTAGCAGGTATCGTGAAACCTTGTGTCACCCTGTAAGTTGTTTTCTATTCTCTTCTATTATATGTATTGCAAACATCAGTGGAATCATAATCCCAGCGAGAAGACCTGCTCGATATGTCAGGCAGACAACCAACTGAGATCTTGGCTCTTGACAAGACCATTTGAAACAAAAGATTACGAATCAATACATGCAGGTGTTCAGATGTCCAAAACGAATTGTGAAAAATGCAAAAATCAGAGAGTAAAAGCTTATATTTTATACAACTCACCGCGAACTCCCACTCCCAGTCCGACCGAAATGTTAGGAAATCTTACGTTGGTGGCAATTCTCGCGAACAAAGAAGAAGCGGATTATGAGTTCCATAATTTTTCGTTTGAGCCTGAGAAATCAAAGTTTTCCCTGGTGCTCCTGTCTGAAGGTAGTTGTACGAGGATTAAAATGATCGAGATATCCGCTTTCGTATGTGAAAAAAACACTATCAAAGGCGTTAATCTGACCCGCACCATTTCTCCTGCCACGGGATTTAAAAGAAAGAATGCAACATGTATCATGAAAAACGCACTGAATCTAGAAAATGCTGAGCCATATGGTTTGTGTTCAAGCAATGGAACGTGGGATGTTCAATCTCCGTGCAAATGTAAAAGAGGATTTACCATCGGTACCGTTGGATATTGCGTAGGTATGTAGATGGAAACTAACGCCTGTATTCAAACAGCTCACTCACTGAGTGTGACATATAAATTCTGTTAATGCTGATCAATGAGAAAGTTTTTTCTGAATAGATGGAAAGATATAAGGTAAATCACTGAAAATCAAGCCCCTTTTCGGCTGGAAATACCGCCATTGAAACGTTATGAGAAGATTAAGATCTCCCACTCAATGAGTTTGAGTGTGAGTGAGCTTTTAGAATACAGGCGTAAGGCTTAAGATTCAAGACTAACTATAGATTATGCACAGATGTTTTATTGGATTCAAACTATTTAATGTTTACTGTATAGTCTGAAACAAATCCTGAAATATAGTCAAACCAGGATACGAGTATATACCCAAATACCATCAGATACCAATATATAGCCAAAATTTGAAAACTCACTGTCTTCTTCTACAGAATGTGGACGCAATACATACAAGTCTTCAATTGGAAATGAGAAGTGCACTCCTTGTCCAAACAATTCTGCAAGTGAGAAAGGACAAACTCAGTGTCAGTGCAATGATGGCTCCTATCGTTTACAAGGGGAAAATTATGAGCATCCATGTTATGGTAAGTGAACTACACCCTACTTTTACAGTATGGAGGAGGATTGTGCGTGTATTTATTTTTATACGCATTCTGATGTGTATCAGTGAAATCAAGTCTCTGTATGAAAAAGATAACTTTACATTTTGTTGACCAGGAATTCCTTCAGAAGTCACGAGCATCAAATTTGTTGGCAGAACTGAGACCACAATTACGTTGCAATGGCAACAGCCTCAGAAGCAGTACCAAGGTGCCGTGTATGAAATAGAGTGCAATAAATGTCCATTAAGCAGTGATAGTGCACCATGTGAAGAGCAGTGCGGAAGATCAGTGACGTTCATACCATCACAAACTGATCTCAAGTACACGAATGTGACAATACGAGGTCTGGAACAAAATACGGAATACCAGTTTGTGATTTATTCCAAGAATAAATACAGTGACCGCATCAATAAGACTAACTGGAAAAATAGTGTGAAGAAAATTAAAACTGAAGGTAAAAAAATTGCATTGTCAATTGCACTGACGCATGGCAGATTTTCGACTTGAAACAAGTGGGCTACTGCTGCAACTTGACCCATTCAACGTGAGCAAACACTAACAGATAGTTGGGCAGTACTCGACTATAAGGACGGCGAGCCTAAACCTCACATATAACAACGTGAGGAATCAGTAAATAAATGCAAGAGAAATTTAAGCATTTTATTTTACCACCATTAGTCCTCTGTTAGAATTCCCTCTCCCCCCATCAGTGGCAGAGAGAAAAGACTCAGTCAGTATTTGTATTACTTGTTCGTTACAGCGCCCTCATCCAAATCGGATGGACTTGATTCGACGACGAAGATTGCTGTTGCTATTGTTGTCATAATACTGACGATTGTTATTTTCATTCTAATATTCTGTTTGTTCAAACGGTAAGTATAGTGCTTCTCGAGCATTATTCTGTATAGTTTTGGACATGTTAAATTCTTTGAAGCGATGAAGTAATGACATGTAAATGTTCCCTATGTCTTCCATTTCTAGACGGAGAGTCATGCGATACAGAGCCAGTTTACGTGGTCGCAGCAGTGGTGGTGAGTTTTAATTTTCCTTTACTAAAATATTAGCTGGTCCAGGCAGAAACCTAGTTATACCAACAACAGAGTAAAACTAGCCCATTTTGCTTTCTCGTGAACTCTAGTTCCTTAATCCCATTTTATTAAACTATACATCAGCTGGTCCGTTCATACTCAATGTAAGTAAATCGAATGTCATGTGATTCTCGCTTAAATGACTTTTTTAAAAGTTCCTCTGGTGCCTGGTGAGAAGAACTACATAGATCCTACGACATACGACAATCCTGAGAGAGCCGTGTCCGAGTTTGCGAAGGAACTAGACCGAAATGCGATCACTTTTGAGACTATCATTGGTGGAGGTACTAAATTGTTCAGTGGGAAAAGAAACCAGGAAAATTCCTGATAAATTTCCAGGCAGTTTTAGTAGCTAAAATATTTATTTACCAACTTTTCAGGGGAGTTTGGTGATGTTTACAAAGGTGAACTAAAGCTTCCCGGACAGCCAGCTACCAAAGTTGCGATTAAGAAACTAAAGGTACCTGTTACTTATTTTTCTTAGAACGTATTGTTTAGAACACTCGCTGTATTGTGTTAGAAATTCTCTGATTGGTAAAGTTAAAAGGTTCCTCTCAACACAATCCACCGTCGCAATGAATTTGAAAGCTTACGTTGCATTTAGAGATTTAATTCCATCAAAATGTGTATTTCAGGCCGGAGCCTCCCACAAAAATCGAACGGACTTTTTAATAGAGGCTTCCGTGATGGGACAGTTCAAAAATTTGAATGTGATAAGTCTGGAAGGTGTTGTGACTAAAAGTGAGTGGAGAGTAATGTTCATTTGTTTGTACCGTGTCGTCTCTGCATGTTGGCAATGCCAATTAATATCCACCAGATCTGACCATGCCAGAGATTTGAGGTCAGATGCTGAATGAATGATTGTCATGATGCGCTACGTATCAGTGACGACTATTTTGATTATGATGATGGGGTTAATGTAATGGAGATTATTATTATGATGGTGATAATATCAAGTGAATGGTGCTAGTGTTAGTAATTTTCCGATAGTATATATTTATTATTGGAATACAAACATGCGTTATACATTTTAGCCCCACCGTTACTAATCGTGATAGAATATATGGAGAATGGATCATTAGACGGATATTTAAAGGTACAAATAGAATCCCAGCAGCAAATTTATAATTGTCGATACAATTGCTCTTTTCTCGTGTTTATATTGATTAATATGGCAACAATTCTTGTTATTCTTAGGAAAACGATGGAAAGCTGAAACCATTGCAACTATTAAGAATGGCCCGTGGAGTTGCAAATGGCATGGAGTATCTCGCCGGAATGCATTTTGTACACAGAGTAAGCAACTGTTCTTCTTTAAGACAAAATATGAGACGATTGATCTTCGATGTTTGTTGTGTTATTCCAGGATTTAGCCGCCAGAAATGTCTTGGTGAACGCAAACCTCGCTTGTAAGGTTGCCGATTTTGGTCTTTCGAGAGATATTGGCAAAAACGAGGACTCTGAGTACGAGACACAGGTCAGTAGACTCCAATCCTTAATGTTCGACCAGCCGGGATTTAAACCCATAATGCAAGTTGCAATAAATCTGATTTTCTCTAATTAATACATTTGGATTGAAGGGAGGAAAAATTCCTGTACGATGGACAGCGCCCGAGGCGATTACATTCCGTAAATTTTCAACTGCAAGTGACATTTGGAGTTACGGTATCTTACTTTGGGAAATAATGTCCTTTGCTGAAAGACCATATTGGAGTTGGGGAAACGAAGAGGTAATGCACGTATGCTCCGCTATTGGAACATTCATTTTTTGTAAAAAGCAATGATATTTGCTCGGTCAGTTTGGCTGTATTAAACTGCATGCATTAAGGCTTATTTATTTACATTGTTGTTTCTATCAACCTTTATGTTTCATAAAATTCTGATGAGGTTTTCCCAAATGATTTTTTGTCGGAAAAATCGATTTGTTTTATAGTCCACTCTTGTACTTTCATGTAGGTTATGGAAAGAGTTAGTCAGGGATACAGACTACCTGCGCCAATGGTATGGTATACAAAATATTCTTTTAAAAGTAGTTTAACCAACCAACCAAAGTAATTTTAAATTGATAAATCTTTAGCACTGTCCTAAAACTGTACATCAATTGATGACGGAGTGTTGGAAAACTGACCGTACAAAACGACCTGCTTTTAAAGAAATTGTCAGAATCATTGACGAATGGATACAAAATCCTGAAAAGCTTAACGAAGATTATATTAAAGTGCGAAGGTATATTTAGTATTTCTTGTGTTCGTATAAGAATTTTTTCTTGGATAGGAATACATCCATAGAATAGTAATTCAATTTGTATTGCAGTCCAAGATTTGATAAAGAGAAAATTTACTTCAGGGTATATCCAAGTAGATGATATGAGTTATGCTATGAGAAATTTAGGAAACCATCCATATTTGTTGGTGCTTTATATAACTGGCCCTAGGACGCTAGCAATTTTGTTGTTTTTTCAGGAACGAACCATTGGACTATTCGACGTTTACTTCGGTCAAAGATTGGTTAGAAGCGATTAAGATGGGAATGTACGCAAGTAATTTTTCCAAAGCAGGTTATGAAGAACTCTCAGATGTCGCACAGCTGACTGAAGATGAACTACTGAAGAAGGTTGGAGTTCGATTGATAGGCCATCGACATAAAATTTATCAAAGGATTAAGGAAATGAGTGAAGAGATGAAATTGAAGCGAGAGCAATCTATGAGAATATGATATGTGGTGTAGGTCTCGGGGAAAGGTAGTACATGGGGATATTTCGAAGAAGGGAAGGTTGTGTTTAGTAAAGGAAGAATCGCCATCACATCGCATCATTTCATCGCTGCAGAAAGCTGCGTGTATATTTTGACGCTATGGTTCTCCAAAATCCGCCGATAGTAAACTGTGGTTAGATGAAAGATTAGATTAGATGAAATTCCTCTCAAGTTATGTACCTGCATGCAAAGCAGGAAATATGATAGTGCCTAATAGTGGATCCATTTAAATAACATAGGTCGCATAAATAATGTATTTATACGGTACGTGATGATATAATGTTCTCTTCCATGTATTTTAAAAGCATATATTCTTACAAAAAGCAGTTAAAATCTGTACCAAGGATAAAAAGCATGGCTATCAAGAAAATCAAATCGTCAAACACAATCGAATACAACAATAGAAGAAGCCGAATAAGCAACCGTCCTGGGCTGTGATCCAGTCACGTCTGTTGATAAATATCGAGATAATTTTTTATTAATGTACATATTTTGAACGTCTAAAAACGCCGTGCAATACATCTTGGATTGATTTCGTGATTCTTATCGGCTGTTTATATCAGTTATATGCTTGGCTTGAAAAATAGGCGAAATCTTGGCCCGGAACAAAAGGAGACTTTCCTTTTAGCCATTTTAAGAACATCAGCTGATAAGAAGGAGAAGATAAAGAAGATGTATTGGATATCTTTTAAAACTTCTAAATATCACGAACGTGTTTAATGCACGAACACTACATATCAATAATGCCGGCATATTATATTAACAATGAAATTAATTTAGGTTTAATTTTTCAACGGAATATTAGGTATCAATATCATAACTTGAAAATAGGAGAAATATTTCTATGAAGGTAAAAATATTCTTGCGATACGGATATATATTTATAGAATTCGATGTTAAGAGACGTTTTCTAACTAGTAACTAATGTCTCGTGTGAGAAATGTGAATATTAAAAGAATTCGAAACAGAGTCTAGTTTGGTTCATTAAGAAATTTGCTAAATTACGATGTACATATATATGACACTATCTTGTCAATTTTGATCTAAGCCATATATCGTCCACACAATGCCACTCACAAAGCCATTACATACGGCTTGTTGTAATCGCACGCCTTTCTTTTGTTTTACGACAATTTTCTGTCGCCTACAAAGCGAAACCAGCCGCTTATATTTCATTCCCATGCACTCGATACGCGTTTGAAATTTGATTTTTAATTGATTTTTTGGAAGGAGAGATATTCTGTATTAAGATGTAAATGAGACTGACTTAAATCTTTATCGTCGACGCAAATGATATTCAAATAAGCTCCGACCTACTTCATTATAAGCATCTGCCTTTCACATGCATTAAAACAATTGGCGACATCATCTGTGTAGGGGGACACAAACCAAGCTCTCGTCACATTGAGAAAAATAATTTTTGGGCTCTGACATTAGCACCACAGATTGTAATTATCTTGAAGGTAATCAACTATTCCTCTTTTTCGTTAGGTTTATGCACGACGCACAAGTCTTCTCGATAAAATATCTTTTAGCTAGGTCATTAACTGATCACATTGTAAAACGAGAGACTCCTAAAACGCAACGAGTCCCAATTTTTTTTTATTTAATGACTCCATTTTCACGTTAGGCAAGACGATTTTACTTTTACTGGATGGTTGTAGTAACGTGACGTGTAATTTGTGAATATCGTAGTTGTGCTTTTATTAAGGTGCGAAGTAAAAATATCAGTATCATGACTGGTTAGTTTTGATTTTACATCTAGCATCGATCGTCTTCCCAAGTGAACAATGACTATTTCAAAAGGAGGTTCGGTTGTCTTAGCATTTTCATACGCCATCATCGCCTTATTTGGTTCTGTTTCTAACGGTCTCGTCGCTCTTACTTACTTAAAGTGGCGCAGTCGTATTTTAACGCAACCAAAAGATGTGCTCATTCTTAGCCTCGCCATTGGGGACTTCGTGATGTCAACTATAGTATGTCCGCTCGGTTTTGCATCCGCGGTGAATCGAAAATGGACATCGGGTCATACTGGTTGTGTGTTCTACGGTTTCTTCTCGACTTGGATCGGCCTCGCTTCGATTGCGCAACTCGCCTTCCACGCCATCGAGAGGTACGTCACTTTGTCGAGTCCAATTCCAAACGTGATTTCAGTGAAACGAGCATTTCAAATAATCATGGCTGCATGGATTGGTTCGTTTCTTGCAAGTTGTTTTCCATTGTTGGGTTGGTCTCAATACACCTTCGAAGGTTTTGGTCTCCATTGCTCAATTCTTTGGGATTCTCGTTCAGCGGTCGACAGCAGTTACTCCATGTTCCTTCTCATCGTTTTCTTCACCTTTCCAGTCGCTGCAATTGCATTTTCCTATGGAAAAATTTTCTTCATCGTGCGTCGAATCTACCTGAATGCGGACACGATGTGGGGCCATGACGCGCAGGCAACGAAGGAAAGTTACGAAGCACAAGTAAAAACGGCCAAACAACTTCTCCTTATGATCGCAGGATTCATGTTCGCTTGGACACCCTATGCTGTCATGTCGTTCATTGTCGTCTTCTTTGGCGGTCAGATTCCATTTGGCTACCACGAATATCCATCCCTGTTTGCGAAAACATCGAATATCTACAACCCTATCATCTATTTCTTTACTTACCAAAGTCTGCGAGAGAAAGCAATTGGATTGTTGCAGTGTCGAGGAAATGTGGACGCAGTTGAACCCATGACGAATCCTATGTCGTCAGGTCAAAATAATCATCCAGCCGTCTAACATGCTCTGTTGTTAATACTGTATTTTACTTTCAACCAATATTTAAAACTTCTCTATAACAAGGTTTATTATAATGCATGAATGATGAGTGAATAGTTTTAGAATAAATAGTGGGAAAATATAAATAGTGGGAAAAAATAAAAAGAGTACTCAAAATGAAAAAGAAAAGAAGATACAATATGAATGTAAAATGGTGTATAAAAGATGTTCGGAAGATACTATAGCGTTTAAATTTATTTGCAAATGGAATTTCTTTTATTGACTCCTTTATAATTAATTTCAAAAGTCTAAGAGTTAAAAAATAAATTCTGCAAGAATAATTTAAAAAAAATTCGTATAGATTCAGATGGCCCGAAACGGCATACGATCATTTCACGTGGGAAAGTCTCATTGCGATTTCACCTGCATTGCATAAATATTTCATATAATCCAGAGCTGCACTTTGGCACTTTGCATTTAATATTAAAAAAGTGCGGATTAGAAAAGCCGGTCCAGGTGCATATGTAGAAATTTTATTGACGAATCATGCAGCTTAGCCGCTACAAGGATGAATAACGGAGTTATTGAATAGATAGATATATACGTGGTTTTTGTCAATTCATCTATCAACACCAGGGGTAGATCATTATGTTATGCTTCTTCAGAATGGCTATAACAACAGTATTTTATATATACATGTGAATTAACATGCTTGCAAAACGATATACAAGCCCAATTACGTACAGATAAAGGAAAATTGCAGCTTCATGAAGGAACTTTCAAAACGTATTTTTAAACAATTGATATTTAAAGAGTGATTTGAGGAGACTCTTGATAGCGTTAACTCTATGTATATAGGGTAATCGGTTCAAATACAATCTTGCTATGTCTGATCGAGTGTTTCTTGATTCCTCTCGGTGTTGTGAGCCTTAGCATGTAGTTAAAGCTCACGAGTGTCTTCAACGGACCGAGCAACTGAAGGGTCGTTTAGCATTTGCAACTTTGAATCCCCAGCATCGCTAAAGCTCTTCTACGTAATTTGCGATAACCAAAGAAATATATAATTGGATTAGAAATCAAAGCTGTCTTGGCAAACATGGATGGGTATTGTCGAGTTCGTAACGGAATGGCTAAATCAAATAACAATATCATCACACACATGATAGCATAGGGAGACCAAGCTAAGATAAATGCAGAAATCACAAGCAGGAGATTTTTTGCAGACTTCACTTGAGATACGTAGCTTTGTTTGGTTGCCTGTGCTTCAGGTCCCCACATTTCAATGGCGTTTTTATATATTCGACGAACAACGAAGAAAACTTTCAAATAGGAACCGACGATGGCGCAGATAGGCATGAAGAAAAATACGATCAGGAGGAAGAGACAAAATGTTAAATTACTCACAGATTTCTTTTCCCAATTCATTGAGCAATGTAGTCCCAGGGCTTCAAAAGTGTACTCGGACCAACCAGTAAGAGGTAAACAACAAATGATGAATGTGAACAGCCAGCAAGCAAGAATCGCTAGGATTATTTGCCGTTTTGACACGACATGTAGGTTTGAACTTCGGAGGGTAATGTATCGTTCAATTGATAAAATCGCCAGCTGCATCATTGATGCCAAGCCTACCCAGGCCGTAATGAAAGCGTAAAAAACGCAGCCAGGATATCCCCAAAGCCATGTTCGCGATATTGCCGAGGATAAGACGAGAGGGCAAACGAAAAGGCACGTCACAAAATCACCGAAAGCCAGGCTCAGGATTAGAAGATCTTTTGGCTTCCATAACATCGTTTTTCGCCATTTTATGTATGTCAAAACGACCAAGCCGTTTGAAAAAGTACCAAATATAATTATGAAGCAGAAAAATGAAGTGATCACGCCAGAGTCAGTAGCAGTTACCGGCATTCTTCTTCAATCTTGTTGCGCCAGCGACTTTGCGACACATGTCACCGGCGCGACCGGTTTTGTAACTGTGATTGGGTTACGGAAACTCGCTTTTTAATCACGATTCTTCCAGGAAACCAGTCGTCCAATCATATTGTCAAAATTTGCTTATTCTTGCAAGCATTATAGGAGTAATATGAGATTTAAATAACAAAAGAAGTTAAATGCTATTGGAAGAGGTTGTAATACTGAATAATACACATTAATTATCTTTGTTTTATATTTCTCCTCGATATCATAAAAAACCTAAATGTATAATTATAATGATCGCTAGTAATGATCAAGTTCCTAATATTTTCCCATTCAGCCTCGTACTTAGGCGCTTTAAAATAACTATAAATATAGGCACACTACAGACTTTTACTTAGATCAGTGGCTAAGCTGAGTGAGCACGCAGGGGATTATGGAATTACATTACTCTCACGATATTTTATCTTTCATGAAGTATAGCATGAAAAACTTTAAACATTATACCCAGCATGCATTGGCCACTGCGTCTGACACGTGGTCTGAAAGCGTGTCACGTGAACAATTATTTATTTCGTTTGAAATTATGGCGGAAGAGCGATCACTTCGAGAAGTAAATATAAACTTACTTTCACGACTTCATGTCGCTCAAAAAGCTATTTGGAAGGATATGAACTCTATAAGGGCAAACCGCCAATCTTTTGTCGTCGATCAGCCATCGAAAAAGTCAGTTTTTCAAGGTTTTGGCCCCAACAGATCGCCAGTAATTTTGCACAGTCGAAGGAAGGCATTTTCGGAACTATCGACCAAAATAACACCTAGAAAGAAAAGTGAGAAAGGCAGTGCACAAAATCGATTATTGGCCGATGGAAATAAATGCTTGAACTCAATTCTAAGGACTCCGAAGTCAGAAACTAAACGCCAGATCCAGGTAAAAACGTCTGCATTAAAGAATTCAGAATTGCAATGAACAATATAAAATATTCAAATATAACTATGTTAAAATTGTCAATTTGATCGTGATCACTTGTATAGCAATTTAATAACAATAACTTGTTCTGTTTTTCCCACCAATGATTGGTGCCAATCAAGAATGGGGATTCATTGGCATGTTGGGATATTAGGCTAGGAATGATGTGTGACCAGTGGCTCTTTTATCTACTTGCGGCTAAAGAAAGGAATCCAGTCTGGCTGTGACGACTGCAGAAATTCTTGACAACAACACTAACTTTCAGCCCGGGCTGAAGTTTCAGTCCAGTTATATATAATTAGCCTGCTGAAACTCAGCCTGAGCTAAAAACACTTCATGTAATCAGCCCATTACTGTTCTCTTTCAAAAGACCTTTTCTTGGTAATAATTATCTAGAGAGGTGAAGGTCGGCACCATGTTACATTCCAACAATCAACTCCAACCTCTGGTGTGAAAAAATTAGAGCAATCTTTGCTTGGCTATGACTGGATTGCAGGCATGCTTGACAATGATTCCTTCATATCACAAAAAGATGACAGCTTTTTCAACGAACTGAAAGAATTTCGAAGAGTAAACAGAAGCGAATGTACTGGATCTTCTATTCTACAGTGAGTTCAACTATTTTTATTTATTGTCATCAAATTGTAAACAGAAAAAATGTATATAATGCAACTATTTTATATTATAGAAACGAAACAAATTCACCTCAATTTAAATATACACCACAAGGATTTCAAGAGGGAAATTACAACAAGTGTATGTTTATAATTATTGATTTGAAATTTTTTTTTCATCATTGTTCTTTAATGTATAAATATATCAACACCCAAACAGCATGAAAAAAGTCCAAATTCAAATATATTAATAGTGTTATAATGAATATTTAAGGTTCCGATGCTTATGTCCTCGACGATCGATTGTTTGCAGTTCCAATTCATGGCACAAATTCATACTGCTCTTTGTGCAAAACAAGAAAACCGGCAGAATATGAGAATCAGGATAGTTACGTCAGGATAAGTGTTCCAAGATCAACACTTCAGTCACCTCACAGAATCAAACCTCATCGCAGAAAGAGCTTTGATCCTACAGACACAGTTTCACTCTCGAAGGTATTACAAAGCAAAATTCCAAGAATCGGGATAGTTTTGTGGTTTGACTGCTAATACCTTCTTTCTGATACACAGAATTCTACATTACGGCCGGGAAATATTATACACAATTGCTATATTAGGTGTTTTGTATTTTAAATGTGATTGGTTCATTCGTAGTCACATGACTTTAAATAAATGCCATGTTTCTCGCCAGGGAAACACATTGAAAAATTGTTGCCCTCTTCTTTTCATAACAAAGTAAAGTGGGTTTCTTTTTTAAATCAAATTGTTGTGTAACATGTATGTTTTTGTTCCTATATAACAAAGCACTTAATGTCTTTGGAAAACGAAACTCACTATTTCCCTCGGGAGCATACATTAAGTGTATATTATTTCTTTTGTCCAGCATTGTCTGCTTGGATGGCAGTCTTCAAAACCATCAGTAATCCCCTCTCAGTCAGCGATGGATCTCAGAGCACACACGGGAATCTCAAAATTGGTATGTACAAAGTGCTTGCCAGTTGCCACGAACATGCAATGGCTTTTAAAACACAGTTTATGAATTCCTACTTGAATGTTTTGCATGCAGTCACTGTACTTAAATTGCGGCGAGACATAATTTTTCGAGCAATAATATTTTTTTAGCAGGTAAGTGCCAATAGTTTCAGCTCTTTTAAATTATATCATTTAGAATTTTTTAAACGTTCTCACAACTTAAACTGCATAGTATCAATTACCTAGTCTATAATTGTCATAATCAATTGCATAATCAATTATAATCAATTGCATGCGCAAGTATATTTCAATTAGAAAGTTGTTTCGTTTCTAAATTGGCATTTTGCTAAAGAGCTCACTGCTTACACCAAATTTCATTTAGAATTCTTTAAACTGGTCCAATTCATCATTAAAGACTTCGGAACCACTTCGTACTCATTCGGACTTACTTCACGATCACCCGTATGAAACCGCCCGTCGGAAGCCGATATCACAAATATAGACAAGAATTAAAATATATTTTTAAATCCAGTAAATCTATGAAAATAATACCTCTCTTTCTTTTTTTATTTACATTAAACCTTACTTTTTTATAAGACCTGTATAAATTAACACGCCGTTATAGCGCGTGTCTCTTTGAAAGCGGATCCTTTGCGATAATATAGATTTTATAACGAACATGCGGGCTTTTTATCCTGAGTGAAAATATAAATTTCATAACTAAAATGCAGGCTTGTTGCATACTTGTACAAAGCACAGAGTAAGAATACCTTATAACGGTACCATTTGCAAAAACTTAAATTATAACACGGTAGTCTCTTGTGTTTTGGACGAGCAATCCTTTGACGTGACAAACTCTGGAAGAGGCTTATTTTTCGTCTCTGGTAACAACAACGAAAGGAGTCCAGCAAGTATGGAGGCCGAACCGAAAACAACATAGGGAAAGGCAGTTGGTGTACCATCCTTGAAAAAATATCATTAATTAGAGAGAGAATGTTCTAGTTCAATTTTAGTTGCATCACAAGCTGAAGAAATAATATCTTACAACAATGAATGGCGCACAAATTCCTCCAATTCTTGAACACAAAGAGGCAAATCCCATGCCGTTGTTCCTGAAAACATTTTTAAATAAGATACAGGGATATATCTTGAAAGCTATGTTGGGATGATGATGCTTTATACTTTTGTATTTATTAATAATCGCACTGCAACTATGTTTTGAGGATTAGTTTGGGGTAATATACTTTGTGGACCTCATTCTGCACACTAGGGACGTATACAGAACACCATTTAACATAATTTTTACAACTTATATGGATATTTTAAAGTATTCACAATTGCAAAGTAATTATAGTAAATATAATTACCTGATAACAGTGGGGTAAAGCTCAGCAGTGTGGATGTACACTTGGTAAAAACATGCAGAAATTGTGAATTTTCCAACTAAAGACAATGTCATCACTAAGCCTTTGAGCTCTTTATCCTTTCCTACAAGGAACGGAGTATGACGTCACATGCGGAAGAAATATGTTACGCGAAATTTTATTGGCTCGGCAGCGAGTTGCATCCCTGTCGAACCAATCAGACCTCGTGTACCATCCCGTGTTTGGCGTTAAGAAAAACATCTATATCTTGCTTGCATGACGTACCTGTGAGAACAATTGGAAGGGTAGATAGTAACGCCACACCTCCGATTAGGAAATACAGCACCAGCGGAATACGTCTGCCTATTCTGTCAAAGAAATATGTACAAACGTTTAAGCCAGGAAATGTATAATAACTGCTATAACGAGGTTAAACTTCTCGCAGTTGAAAGAAAAGCCAATGAGCTGAAGACAGATTGCGTTTGGTATTTTTACCTGTTAACAAGGATTGTTGCCAAGAGATAGGCTGGAATCTCAACAAGGCCAGACAGAGCAAAATTTAGGTAGACATTACCAGCCAAGTCATCCACGTTAAAACTTAATCCGTAATATACCAAACTCGTCACCAGCCTAATTATATGGTATAAATAAAGTGTTGAAAACCGTTTTGTGAGTTTATATTGTTGAAGAATGTTTATGTAATGTTTGGTTAGAAAATGGTGTATTTGAACTAATGCGACTAAAAACAACTCCTACCAGGAAAAACCTTCAATGCAAGTTATCTTTCGTAAACGTTTTGTGCTGAACAAGTGGCCAATATGATAAGTCTTTTGGGAAGCGCTCTTTTCATGCGGGATGTCATCTGTGTGTATTTCTCTCGAAAGTTTCATCTTGTTCTGTTTTCCAATTTTCACCAAAATTTTATCAGCTTCATCGGTTCGACCGCGTGCGACCAACCATCTTGGGGATTCTGGCATCCACCTTGAAAAGAAACGTTCAAACAATGGATACTGGAATGGTTTTAAATCTATCTCTATATATCTCACAAACTATTCTTACCACCAATAGAGTATAAAAAGTACATTTGGAAGTGTAATAAGTAGATTAAAGTGTCTCCAGTTACGAAGAAGGTAACCAAGCAAGGCTTGCAGTGCAATGCCAACACCATATCCACCCTGCATCACGCCATTTGCCCAATTTCGTTGCTTTACGCCGACCATTTCTGTTGCCAGTAGAAATCCTACCATGAAGTTTCCTTAAATACATTGTATGAGAGATCCAGGTTAGATAACGAAAATACATTTGTGGCTCAATGATCGCACTGAAGATGATGATGAGATGATGATGATGATGATGATGATGATGATGATGATGATGATGATGATGATGATGATGACGACGACGACGATGTTCCTGATCATAATCATGATCAATCATGATCATGATCTATTTACCTCCACTGCAAATACCAATAGGCAGTCTCAAGATCATATACATATAGTAATCTGATGAAAACGTTGTCGCTAGGGAGCTGACAAATTGGATGAAAGCCGTGACGAAGAACACAACCCGTCTGCCATAGCGATCAGATATCCAGCCAAACATGTATGCGCCAAAAAACTTCCCAACGTAAAATATACTCTTTGTTAAAGGTATTTTGTACTTGTCCACTCCACACACATAATCCCACTACAATGTGAACATAAAGAGAAAGCCAGTTTAAGTCCCTTTTGCATTTACACATCAGAATCACAAATTTACTATTAGGTTACAAAAGGTGCGAGTTTGACGGTTTCACTTTTAAACAGTGCCGCCCTGAAAAATCAATTTTACTTGATAAAATCTCTATAAAATCAACTGCTTTATTTTAATTACGATCTAGCAATGCATAAATAAGCTATATACATCTTCATAGTTTTAAAGTTAGAACGCAAAAATGGCTAAATAAATTGTTATAATGATAAAATTCTACTTTTGAATGATTAAAAACAGGCCGAATCCGCGGCTAACTTCACAGTGGTTGTATTCAACAATCTTGAATCTCGTGCATGGTGTTTTGTTACATTAATTGTTCAAAAAAAAAACAACAATAGAGGACATTGCAAAAGAGCAGCCAATCATAGAACAATATTTTTATAATTGTGCATGACTGTATCAGGTGTTGCATTAATTGTTACACCACGGGACGTTGCAACAGAGGAGAAGCAAGCAACAATCATATTTCTCATTTTATAAAGTATTTATAACATTTGAAATTAAAAAATAGGAATGCGAAAGTTGATAGTTCGCTTGTGCACCAGCCAAATGTTCTCTGTTATAAAATGATATTGTGAAATGTGACAAAAGGTCGAGGAGATTAAGAATTTATTAAAAAAGTATTAAACAGTGTTGAGCTTCGATTCAAACTAAGGAATTCAAGAGCTTCGTTTGAAACCGTTTCCCTTCTGTGCGAAAATCATGCGCACACATTTATTTCTGATCAAATTTTCATCTTCACTGGGATATATTAGTAAAATACCTTGACAACTACTCTCGTTTCTTGTACTATGTATATAAAGACTACTTATATAAAGATTACTTTTATGTATATAAACATCATACTACCTCAGTTACAATGGACGTGTAATCAACATCATACCGAATGCTTGTGCAATTCGCATGACAACCAGTAATGTTGACGTTCGACGTACAAAGAACGGCTTCATCTTTTACTTTTGCGGCGGTGAAGAACGGGAGATATGAATACCATGCTTGCGTGATCGAACTCAAGAACAATAAAAACCACTGGATGTATTGGAAACGCGAGAATTCGCCAACCTGAAGCAAAATATCGTCAAACAACAAAACCATTGCAGTGGAAAGAGTAAATGCTGATTATGGTTACTTGAGTTATGATTTAAAAAAAGTTATTGCTTCTGAAATTGATTGAACACTTCAGAACCTGTCTGCACTCTCTCACACCAGTGTCAAATGCATATATTGCTATTTAAGGTCGATTAATTAATCTGTCATTTTATCGCATTGAACTCCGTTGCTGCCGAAGCAGCTGGAGCAGGATTACAAGATTGGCTGAATAGATTAGCCAAACATCTTGGGAACACAAGGTCAAAGCAAAGCAAATGGAAGCGTACGCGTGCCTGTGCTTAACCTCGTACCCAGGGTCTTTTCTCTTTTCTGGGGATGGCAATTCCGCTTGCGTCTGCTTGCCAGAAACTATAGAAATGAATGCGTTGTGCTTGTACAATTAACGGAGGCGAAGCGAGCCACCTAATTAGAAGGACGAATATTCATAAATTCGTTTCGTGATGTACATATGACCCTTTTTTCCACTTCCAAGACCAAGTTTGTGTGAAGACTGGAGTGTAAGAAACGTTTGTTTACAGACATGACTTGTAGATATCATTGTATAAAACAGGAATGCGAATACGTTTTTTTTTTAATTCTTATATTTACTCAAGTAATATTTCTTTCGTGTGCTAAACTGCGTGAGTAAACTAATATTCTCTTATCAGTTTGATTTCTTTGTCTTCTTAATCTGAAAACAAAACAAAACAAGCAACGTAACTCCAACCAGTTGTAGTTACAAGTATGGTGTATCCATGGAATGTATCTCTAGCTGTGTGTGTGTGTGTGTGTACGTTTGCAAAACTGGAATGGCTGCAGTTTTCTGATGTGAAAATCGCATTTCATTGGTAATAGGGCAGTAAAACATCATTCATATTATATTTACCTTAACAGGTACTGCAGGTTCGTTTGCAATTGTTTTTCACATACGTGTTGGAACGGCAAAGATTTCTCCAACTAGGACATCGGTTATCCTTATCAGTGCAACCACTGCCACCGCCACCGCCACAACGTCCGCATGTCTTTTTGCACTTGTCTTTCACATACTGGTTGCTATTGCAATAACTTTTCCATCCAGAACAACGTGTATCCGTATCTTGGCAACTGCCTGTAAGGTGTGCAACGTTTATGCTTTTGTGGGTTCGTCAGATCGATGACATAAGGTGAAAAGGTCTCTCTATTACCAATTTCAGATAAATGTTGATAGTTTCGGAGAAAAATTCAGCAACATAAATGTTCTCATCTTTGTGATCTAACACTCGTATTTTTTGGCCGATCTAGGCTTAGAAGGTTTGTCGAAATAGAAATCTGTTCTGCTGTATTGAATCAATTATATCTTTTGTTATTCTTTATGAAATTAGTGGACGTTTTGTGATTATGTTCAGCTCTGAGAACTAAAGCCCTGACCGCATAAATTTGAAACAGATATGAAGTATACTTATAGGAGAAATTGATTTTGTCAAATAGATTTGACAATTAGTTCCAGTGCTTTTCCGCCATTTCATATCACTTGGATCCATAAAAAGAAAAGAAAAACTTTACCAACCTCCACTTCCACCGCTTCCTCCACTTCCACCACTTCCTCTACCTGTACATAACGAAAATAGAAAAGTTGTGGAATATAAATGCTTGTATTAATAATTTGCCGGTTCACTTACCATATAAGGATTGTATTCCGCTGATGTCATCTTGATGCAGTTTCAAGCTTCCAGTGTAACTTGGCCACATTATTGCGCCTCTTACGTTGGAATGATGCAGACCAATAGCATGACCGATTTCGTGTATGGCCACAGACAGTAACTGAAGGCCTTGACCTCCGTGAACATAAAACTCGTCTTCGTCGAAATGGATGCGACCGTTCTCTGGGAAGTACGCATGTGCGAGGACCCCGCCACGACCATCGAATGGTGAATTGTCATTGTGGCTACGGCGGTAAAATCTGACGGGAAAAAACTTCAGATAGTTTAACAATATCGAGTAGTTTAATAATAACATTTAGAATAGAAACATACAAGAAAGCTTTTTTAGGCAAACTAAGGGTCGTCGTTACGTTTTACGTTCAAATTGATTTCAATCACTGTTAAGCCTGAAAACGTGCGGCACTATTTATTAAATCATGGCTAGGAGGCCCTAGCTTGCATGTGAAAGAAAGGATGTTGTTACATGTGCCAATGCTATTTGAGACTCACCCAATGGTGAAATCACTTCTTCCTGATGTCTCGCTGAACCTAAGCGGCGTGACTCTACTCCAGTGATTGAATGCTTCCTTTATAATACTTCTCACTTTATCCCGATGTAAATCCTCTCCGTGATTCAGAAAACGATACGTTAAGGTGGTACGTCGCCATTTGCTTCCAGTTTTGTAACGACGAATGCGATCTCCCGCCTCGTCCACGTCAGCGTTACCACAACGAGGCTTCTTCATTTCTTTTACGGTGTCTTCGTCAAGTTCTCCAGTTTGTTCGAGATGCATGAATTTTTGGTAGCGCTTGATGGCCGTTCTTGCATCGTGATTTCCGGAGCGACTCAGAGACAGGTAGCCAAATTTCGTCAGGAATGACTGCATGGGAAGAAATATTGGGAAAATATTATTGGACTTTAATTGAGGAAATTTAATTGGACTGAAATTGAGGAAATTATTAGTTTGGACGATACATGGTAAAAGTTCATAGGCACACTTGTGCAGATCATAACCAAGATTGTTTTGGTCAAAACAAAGAAACTGGAAATTCTCCTACCGCAGCATTGACTTTCTCTTCTTTCTCGTCGGCGTAAGCTGCAATTACGGTAGCCAAAAGACACAAGATCACTTTATACTCCATGATGTTAGACCAGGCTTGTCAACATGCATACAGTGAATGAGATTCCCGTTGGTGACGATGTGCCGTTTATATTGGCTCATTTAACCCTATTGTTGGAACAGCTCTGTTTGTATCACACCACCTGCATTTGCGTTTCAAATACAACCTCTGGCCCAGTTGTGTCGTGATTTGTTTGTTAGAACTATTTGTATGTTGAAGTAACCTCAGCTGTTGCTATATGTACATAATCCGGACAAATTGTGGACACACAATTGCGGTGCATTTGTGAATACTTTATTGCGCATTATCAGGTATAATCGTTTATGCTTGTGGCTACCATCTATACCAGCAGCCTATACCGTGCCAACACTGCTTAATTCTGCCTAAACCATTGACCTGTACTAGATAGGTGAGTGGCTTAAACCATTGTTATGTTTAGAATACCGATAAAGTTGATTAATGCCTGAACGCAACGTAATTAGGTCTGCCTGCATGGCTGGGAAATTTTGGTATAAAATATGTATAAAATATTGTTATTTATAATAAATGTTAAAATTTATATAAAATTTATATAAATGAATAAATTTATTGCTCTGCTAATTCCCGTGGTATTGAGCACTATAGTTTATAAAATATTTTTATATATGTGAATAAAATTTGAACTTAATTTATTTATATAATGTGTAAAAGCCAGATGATAACGTTCTTGACACAACCGGCCCTAGTACATTCCTCGCATGATTGAAATTTAATTAATATTTGTTGTTCAATAATTATCGAAGGTTTCGAAAGTCGAACACATTTATTGATTATTATTTTGGGTTATTTTTTAATTACACGCGCGCACTCAGCTGTCAGCTGATCGTGATGAAAATGGCGTGTGCGTTAATGCATTTTCACCTGAGAAAACAATACATATTGTCATTGATCAACTTTGGTTAATTTACATATAGTCATTTTATTCTAGAATGTATCTTAATCTAGCTGTATATAGGACCTTTCTTTTTCGGAACCCTTTATATTTGTTCAAATTTTAAAAATTGTTGAGAACTTTTTTTGATGATGATGGATGTACAAATAAAAAGATGAATTAATACGCTGTCCTACCACTTTTAAATCAACATCAGTTTTTTTCATAACAATTCGAGCCTCAGAAGTATGCATGTTTTTCATCCATGCTGTGCATTAGTATGTCGGTGTTTTTATGTATGTATTGAAAAAAAAAATATATATATATTATATATATATATATATATATATATATATATATATATATATATATATATATATATGTTGAAAGAATTTGCAGATTGGAAGATTGGATATTTATATCTATACAAAAATACATTTCGACTAAATCATTGAACACTACATAAAAAACAATAATATATCTTGAAACCTATCATCAATCGGAGTCGATGAATCCTACACTGTTCCTATTATACCATGGGCCGGTTGTACGAAGGTTTGATAGCGCTATCCACCGGATAGTGACTCTTTAAACCGTTCTAAAAATGCTCGAAAAGCGTTCAAATTTCAGTTTTGGAACCAACATTTGTTAAAGAGGATCTTCGATTCCTATAGGAGTGCTAAGATTTAATCAAAGTTCTGCCCGGCGATTTTAAAGCGATTGAAAACCCACTATCCGGCTTTCATTCCTAGCTCCTACACCACATGCAGTGAAGTCCTGTATGTTCGCACTCCACATCATACTGCTGTGTTGGCGTTTGAATGTCGTACAGTGGAGGATGTTGTGGTACATTACAGTATAGTGCTGTATTTAACGCTCGTATACAGTGCAGGACAGTATATAGTACAATGAAGTACAGTATAGTACAGTGTAAGAAGTTAAGTACAATGTTGTACAACACAGTGCATCAAATCAATTATCAATGTTCTGCTTTCATATTTTATTTTATAATGCAATTATAATTGTATGTATATAATAATGACGTATATAGCTTTATCGAAGTGATGTTTCTAACATCGAAATAAGTTACTCTAAAAATATTGTTCTTCTACAGTTTGTTTATATCAATTGAGCTGTTTATCGTCGTAATCCTCAAATGCCCATCGTTGACCTCTATTATTCCTTAGCCTCTCCCACCGACCTGGTTCATCCACACGCACTCGCCTTGTGTCAAACTCAACATCGTCCGAGAAGATATCAACATTATCATTGGCTTCGTTTCTTCTGTTCGTTTTTCTGAACACGTTTGTCTGAAAGAAAAATAGGTCTATTAATGTTGTTATGTCAGGGTTTACTCGCATATTTCTAATACCATTCACCGATGTGCATTTGAAATCGGTTCCATATATCACAGCAGGGTAAACATGCATTTAGCTTCACTTTCAAAGCAAATTGTTAAAGCAACTAATTAAATTTTAACATGTATCTCTCAGATCTCTCACATTAATTTCTAACAATTTCATTTGCTAGAACTAGAAGCAACTGCATATTTCAGATATAACTAAATGCATCTCAAACCGAAATTAGTTACAGATTTTATAGCATTTTATATCATTTTACATATCAAGAATTCAGAACGGCATTGTAAAATTAACACATCAGTTTTTGGAAAAGCGATGCTTAACAATTTTAGTGATTGTGCATGCACTCATTGTTCTAGATCATGTTTACATTTTTAATTAGCGGTCACCGGGGGAGAGTGGGCTCTACACTAAAGATAAGGAAATCTATGCATACATGCAATTAAACCAATGCAATATCAGCGCTCTGAGAGGAATTAGAAAGAGGATGTGTGGGAAGTTTCAATTTTCTGTTAAAAATAAACTTCAAACTGATGCCAAGATGTCTTTATTTGGAGATGGTTCCTCAAACTTTCAGTTGTTTTCAAATATGTCTAGTCATGAATACATGCAATTCTTGATATCATCTCTGTTTGATATATAGCAATCCCCGCGTATGTAATTAGATTGTTTATATATAGTCAGTAAAAACGGAAGTCTATATAAGAGGAAAAATATACCTATATACGAATATTCAAGCATCTAGGAATGTTTGGGGAGGTGTAATTTGCTTTCAGTAAAAACGTTTCCGACGGTAAAAAAAATCATCGTGAAAAAGTATCGTGAAGTATTTTTACAATTATGCCGGCGCGGCAAATTATGATGTATCAAAATGATTACACTGACTGTTGTATTTAAGATATTTACCCATCATTACATGCAGTATAGCCGGTTATTTTACCAGCTTTGGCGTTAATCTAATACTCGACAATAATTCTAAGTTCAGAAGTGTTAATCTGTAATCGTCGTCGATCAAAAAGGATTACAATGAAGAACCCTTGGGGTCAAACATCTCAAAATTCGTAATACGTATATCATATCTGATAAGGTCAATATTGTTGCTGACACAAACAAGAATGACAATAAGTGACGGAAACAAGAGAATATGAATAAGTTTAAATTTACCTTCCTGATGACAATGTATCTATACTAGGTGGTAAATATAAAGCTAAATATTTGAAAATAGTTTGAGTCTAGTGATGAGGAATGGTATATGGTGAAAGTCTCATGTCTGAAAATGCTTAATCTTGATTATTAACATTGCGAAACTGAGGCCGTTCGCGTGTGTATATACGATCGATGGCTGTACTAAATGAAGGTATATACATAACATAAAATGTATTAACTAGCTTTATTGATGTACAACCCCGCTTGTATCTAAAATGGCAGGCACTAAAAACTTATATCAATTTTCAACGGAGTTGTTTTCATCGACGAAATCATAGTAATCTACGTTTGGCATACCATGTCCATGTGGTTTCTCTTCTTTTTACAAGAAATTGGTGCACATCGTTTCTGACCCAACGAACAATCACAAAATAGCATAAAAAGCATAGCAAAGACTGCAATAAACCGTACGTTCATCGTGATTTTACGGCACTCCTTTATCCTTGTGTTGTATGTTGAACGTGTATAGTCCTTAATGCTCAACACGGCGCAAGATTTTTTATATATATTTTGAAAATCTATTAATAATTTAGTGCGTTTAATGATTATGCTATTTTATCAGTTTAATCATAAAATGCTTTGCTTTGTTTCGCACTGCGGTTGTCTCAGTCAAACAGCGCGGCTGCACTTTAACATTACACAAAGACACGCATTATTAACCCACTACACCCATTCATCCGATCTGTTGATGTTGTCTTGAGAAGGTACCAGGTGAAGTGAAACAAGCGAACGCGTACGCCATTTTATCTCTCTGAATTCAAAAGCATTGGCCGTGAAGATTTAAGCCACGCATGGAAGCAATGATTTCTAGTCAGTTCATTTCTATCTCGTGTGTGGGACAGACAATTTTCCTGGTTGGCCGTTTACACGAACAGTATTCCTGGATCAAAAACAGGAACTTTAAATTCAGGTTCCTTCTCATGAAAAACTTGTCAATTTTTTGCTGTAAACATGCATGAGACTTGTTATGAAAGAATTGCTCTCGTTATTATGTTTGTTATATGTCAGACTTCCGTATAGTACTGTTTTAAGAGTGTTCTCTTGTACTGACGAATGTCAATTGAAATTCTCTCTTTGCTGATAGCTACTAATAAAACAAACAGTCCTTGGGAGTGATTAAAATTTTTATAGAAAGAAACTGAGATGGTCTGTCGGAAGTTACAATATACATGCATGCACAATCGTGGAATATGGCTTGTAATTTGGCTGATATATAAATCATTAGTTAACCGTCATACGACAGTTCAGGCATGTGTACAACCCACGCATGCGCATACTTTGAACCTTTTAACCAAGGGTTAGCTGGGTACAGTGGATATTCTAGCCGCTGTCGGGTCGCATGTTTGATTACCAACAAGTATAAAAAATCGAAATCACTTTGAAAGAATCTCTTTCAGTCTCTTGGAATCTGTGTCCAGTCAGCATAATTACTACCTGTGGCTTCTTATATTAAAGCAATCATATTAATAATTTATCATACCTTTTTATCAGTGCATGTGCAATAAATATAGAATGGTTTGTTTATGTTATAAAACGGCGGTGTATTCAACAAGGAAGCATCAGTACCACGTACGCGTCTC